ACTTTAAGAGTTTGTCTGATAAAGAAGAAACAATACATCTTGACAGAAGTCAGTCTTGTATATTTCTGCACACCTTGCAACCTTTAGCACCTGCATCCCTGCAAGATGGGACCTAAGTTTGGAGTGATTGTATAGATAAAATAAAAGTGATATAGTCGGGATTAGACAAGAGAAGACAATGAACTGAGGTTTATTGCAGCGCCAGAAGCTCTGTACAATGTATGAATCCTTGGTATGTATTAGAGTGGAAAGAATACGGGAAAGATGGATGCTTAAATCGATACATTTCTTCCCCAAATCGTACTGATGAGGTCTGCAAACCAAGTTTTTTGTTGGTGCCTCATTAAATTCCAACCCAAACTAACTCTCCCTTCTTCTCAGATGTATCTGTGGATCCAGACACGACCAGCTTTAACATAAAAACCCTCAAAAGTGGAACAGCATACCAAGTCCAGATATCTGGATTCACATCAGCAGGAGCAGGAAAACGAAGTGCTCCGAGTGTCTTCAAAACAGAAAAGAACGGTTGTATAACCAACAACAACTTCTGAAGAATTTATCAATTTTTTTTACTTAAATATTAAAATTAATCTTGTGTTGTTTGTACAGTGAATTTCAGCATCAGCGGCGCCATCACAGTCTTCATTTTTGTGACCTTGTTGCTGATGTTTGGGTCTCCTTTGATAAAAAGGTACAAATTGTATACCTTACATTTTACAAGTTTTGACCGTAAAATAAAACATAGCTCATCTATTGACTCTGCTCAGGGTCAAAGCTTCTCTCTGGCCAAGCATCCCCAACCCTGAACACAGCGACGCAGTGCAGAAAATAGAAATCCCCGCTCAGCTGGTAGAATTACACACTTTTATTTGACCACTAGTAAACATCCTCACTTAAGATCTGCAAACTGTTCATACATTATCTTTCTTTCAGGAACTCATCGAGGCATTAGCAGCTCTAAAGGTAGAAGAGTGGGACACAAAGAGTCTTGAGATACTGGAAAAGGAAGCCATAATCCCGCCTCAGATGTCGCCGTCCAAACTGCAGCTTCTCAGGGTCTGTCAGGATGTGGGAGACTCTCTGGACATCACTCATATCTGGAGCCCGAGGGACGGAGGAGACGACGACAAAACAGACCCTTTACTGGACACGCCAACAACCTGCTTCCCTAGCTCACCTTTAGCCTTTACAGGCGGATATACAACGATGGAAATGTTCCAGCAGCTGATCCCACAGGGAACAGTAGCAGATAGCTCCAACAATCCAAGCATGGAAAGCACAGCAGAGGACTTGAATGTGTTTACGTCCCTGAGGTTGGATTATGTGAGACAATTTAGCACCAGTCCACCGTCAGACAGTGAGCACATGTCCGCGATTTTATGAGAAATGTAGAAAATCTGAGAGGAAACGTCACTACATGAAGGTTGGGGGTCAGCGGGGGAAGTAAGTGACCCACCTTTAGAGACAACAGCTGTTTTATTGCTGTTGCAGGACTTTACTCAAGAGCAGCAACAATGGTTTGTTTATCTTGTTTTTATGTTGGCAAAGATTCTCATTCATTCAGGTCATAGTTAAAAAAAACAAAAAAACAATCCACTGGACTTTGTTTCCAAGTTTGAAGATGTTTCGCTTCCCATCCAAGAAGCTTTTTCAATTCAAAATGTCGGAAATAGCGTTTAGTTTGAGGTTTTATACAGTATCCCAACAAAGCCTTGTTTTTGTTTTGAAAACATGCAAATAGAAACAGACGAATGAGTCCACCCATTTGGAATGAGGGTCATTTGGCTTCTTTAGATAGCCTGCAATGCCCCATACCTCTCTAAGGCTACGTTCACACTGCAGCCTGAAGTGACCCAAATCCGATTTTTTGGCCCATATGCAACCTGGATCTGATCTTTTCATGGCTGTCTGAACAACACAGATCAGATTTTTTCCAATGTGACCCAGCCCACTTGGCTATGTGATCCTGAATCCGATACGAATCTGATCTTTTCAAATGCGAACTGTGTCCGAACGGCCAGGTCGCATTCATCCGACATAATACCCGATAAAGGTCACTATCCTGGGTCTTGCTATGAATAAGCGGCAAGAAAAACCACAACCATGGCGCACGATAATGCGGAGAGCAGTATTTATGTTTAACCATCATGAAAAGATTTAGTTTTTATGGTTGGGAAAGATCGCTACATGCGTTCTGGCACTACCATCCATGTTTACTTCCATAAACACAGAGCCTGGCCTGTGATGTCATTGCGTCCTCTACTGCGCATGCGGGACACATACAAGTCGCATATATTTGCGAATATGAACGGCGATGCAAAAAAATCAGATTTCACAAAAAAAAAACGGAATTGAGCACCAAGGCCTGCAGTGTGAACGTAGCCTAAATGTCCGTTTCAATTTGTATGTTTTCTAAACAAAAACACGGCTTCCTTGGGCAACAGTAGAAAACCTCAAACTCAACGCTATTCCTGACATTTTGAATTGAAAAAGCCTCTTTAATGGGAAGCAAAACTTCTTTAAAGTTGGAAACAAAGTCCAGTGGACTGTTTTAAATTTTTTTTTGGGAATCTTGTTTTTATATAACTGATTTTAGCATTGAGTACAGGAGGTGCACACACAGTATCTCATTAGTGAATCTTTTTAAGTCCATGACTCATCCAACCCAATTTAAATGTGGATCCCTGGTAATGATTCACATCTAATCAAACAGTTTGTGAAGTCAACAGATTTCTCTCGAGCTTTGACGTCTACGCTTGCTACAACAAATCTTTCACAGCTGATCCATTGATGTGATTTTGCAAAAAGATATTACTTAATCTATAGTTTTTAAAAGAAAACACAAATACTACCTCCTACTGATATCAACAGACAAAATAAGGACTGTTTTAGTCAGTTTGAGCAAAATTACAATTTTTCTCATATTTGTGTGGAGCTGGGATTTTTGGTATATTTCAGATGTACAGCTTAAAAAATGTAATTCATATTTTTGATACTGGTTTCAGTAATAAAGTATCTATGTAAAGCCAATGCTTAAATGAGTACTGTTAAGTTTAACTCTTATACTAACAAAAATTAGTGACTCAGTTGAAGGTACAGTAGTTTTGGGTTTACGCCACATGTAGCATCTTTCAATCAGATTTAACTCTACAGCTCTTCTAGAGTTACTGTGAACATCTCAGTCCTTTTTGCACAGACCAGTGGGAATAAGCAGGGGCGGAGCTAGATGGGGGGCCAGGGGTGGCCATGGCCACCCTTATCCAATCATTGGCCACCCTTGTGGCCACCCCTACCATTTTTTCCCTTTAATACAGACAGTGACAACAGAAATACTCTCAAGTGAAATATTTAAAACATTTACATTTTTCATATATTAACATTCAATTGACAACAAGAACACTGTGATTAATTATGCACATCAATATACTGAAATTAAAGCTGATAAGTACGGAATTAATGCTATTTTCAGAACTAGATTTTGTGTTTTAATGGTTAAAGACAAAATTTTGTCATCTAGGAGTCTTCAGTTAAATTATAGAAAACTATTTTAATAAAAACATATAATAATCAATTTATGTGGATATAAGCACTTTTTTACAATTTTATGCAGAATTATAATTAATGATATTAGGTAAGTAATGACAATGGAAAAGATGTTCACTCTAGAACTTAAACCTGAAAGAATTGTACCCAATATAAATGTGTCTATTTGTTAGCAAAGGCTGTAAGAAAGGATAGTTTGTCTTTATTTAGAAAATATGAATGTTGTGGTTTAATTTTCCTGTTAGAACAGTACAGTGTGACCTTGAGGTTCTGGCGCCTATCCGCTTTTGGCCACCCCTCAATGTACATTGGTTATTGTCCGGCCACCCTTATAAAAATTTCTGGCTATGCCTCTGGGAATAAGGGAGCAAGTGCTGAAGATAAACTATAAAGGTTCTGCTAAAAAGAAGAAAAAAAGTATGGTAAGATATGGACACTGAGGATTCCTTCCTATCATAATCCTCATGGCCATGCAAGGGACCAAGACACCTCGCCTGGTCAGCCAGGCCAAAAATTGCCCCTAATGACTCAGGCTAAGACATCAACGACTCCCCATTCGTAAGGGGCAGGCCCATTCCTCTGGATCAATTTGCATGTTTTCTAAGACAAAACAAAGCTTTGTTGGGCTATTCTATAAAGCATTGAACTCAACGCTATTTCTGACATTTTGAACTGAAAAAGCTTCCTGGATGGGAAGCAAAACGTCTTCAAACTTGGAAAAAAAGTCCAGTGGATTGGTTTTTTTTTTAACATTTTTTTTTGAAAACACTGGGGCAGAATACCACCATGATTTCAATATCAGCAAGGGTTTACAATGGGTGTAATTTTCTTGTCCATTTAGATTAGGCAAAAAGATTTGCCTTTACAAAGTAGAATCCTCTAATATGATACTTCTAGGTTTGCAAATCAGTTCTAATTCCTTTATGTCAGGCCTCACATTCTAGTGTCCTGCAAACTTTCTGTCTCCATTTTTTGGGCCATAAACCATTATATTAATATTGGACTAGGGCTGCAACTAATGAAGATTTTATTTAGAAATTAAACCAGGTGAAACTAATATGTTTCCACTTAAGGAGCATATTGACAGACACATTTTTTTTTGACTTAAATGCAAAATGTTTACATATATTTTTACAATTTTGAAATACTTACTGCTCTAAGCATTCTCTATACTCCATATAACGATTAATTACTAAATTAGTTGACTATTTTAATATCAATTAATCATGATTTATCAGATTTTTTTCAGCCCTATATTGAATATTGAGAACCAATGTTCATACTGATATTTACCATGGACATTTGGAAGGTATGAGAGTAAATTAGTCCCAATAAAAAAAAAAAAAAAATCGGAGTAAGAATCCTTACCAATGTAATTTATTGTTCTTAATGGAGACTTATTACTCTTATAAGACTAGAAGTAAAACACTAAAAAAAAGCACCAAAAAAAACCCCCATCAGAGTCAAAACTCTTTAATGAGAGCTTTGGCAAACAAATAAAATGTGTTTTAGGTTCAAACTAAATTATATACATACATCCAAACATTTCATAAAGAATTTGACAGAACCGTTTCCGTATCCTAAACGCAGCATTCGCCATCAAACCCCTTTGCACAGAAAAAACAACCCCCCAAAAACAAAACATCACATGTGGAAAATATAAAAGCATAAAAAGTAAACGACATTTTTCACATATTGGCAAATAAGCCTGAAATGATTTTGTGAAGCTCATAGTTCAGACTGAAGTGTTTGTTAACATTAAACCATTAAAAATATGGCCAAAAAAAACCCAACAAAACAAAATCTGTTGCTGCTTTGAAAACATGTTCACTCAGTACTACAGCAACACATCAAACCACAGGGATAAAAGATAAAAACATCTCATAAATGTTTAATCTATTCTTACAGCTCACGCTATGTTCATATAACATATGATTAGTTGTTTTTAAAACATCCAAATGAATCTCAGTGTTTTATTATTTGCTGTACAATCTTGGTCTAGGCACTTTTTGACCGCTCTGTGCTTCCATACTGTTCACTGACCTTTGCCATTTTGTCTATAAATCCGTTTTATTACAACATACGTCCGTAAACATTCAGCACACCATCCCCAAACCCGACTTCAGCTTGTTTGAGCATAAAACAGTAAAAATATGATGAACTCGCTACTTCTGCATGAGAGGATACTGATGGAAATGAGGCCTAATTTAGAAACCAACATTTGTTGCAATTTTCTAAACTTCTGGATGGTGAAGAAATCTGGTGCAATAATAAAAAACAAAACAAAAGGACACTTCACAAAATACATCTTCCACTGTCCACCAAAAAATAAATAAGCATTTCAGAATCTGTAGAAACCCAGGAACGGGATCAGCGTTAGGTTTGGGTTTAATTAACCGGTAGGAGGACAGAGAGCGTCTGTCGACTAGAGAGAAAGAGGAAAACACTTCTAGTGTCAAACACCAACCGTTCTGTTTAACAGTTAAATAGGGGAATCTTCTGTGTTGGCTTCACACACATCTACCGCCTTAGATTTTTCTTTTAAGTAAAAAAAAAAAGAAATGGTTTAAACTTATTTTTTTCAAACTCCAGAATTTGTATTATTTAGGTTTCCCATACAAACAGATTAGAAAACACACAATATGATGAAACTACCCTACGAATCTGGCTACAAACTATATATTCATGACTAATTTGTAATCATTACTGGATATTTAGGCTTTTTATGGTAGTTGTTTTTTTTAAGTTGAAAATATGAAAATTCCTGTCAAACTTTGTGCCCTCGCTCTTTACCTGAACACATTCTAATAATGACAAATAAAATTAAATAATTTCATTCTTTTGCATCAAACATCCTTAAGTTGGAATTTTTTTTTCTCTTTTTAAATAAATAAGACAATATTTATGATACAGTTTTTATTTTTTTAATGTTGCCGTCACTTGTGATTCTAGAGGCATGAATTTGTTACTGGTATGAATTTATGTTTAAACCGTTGCGATTATTTTAGATACTTTACTAAGACGTCAGGGAATAAAAAAACAAAAATAAACCTGCTGGGGTGAATAGTTTGATGCCGTTTGGAGCATAGAGTGAATCTCCACTACTTTACCAGTCAGCTGGCTCAAAGAACACAATATTTTTTCATAATACTGCAAGATTTTAAATATTTCCAGCCAAAAAACCAGTGAAAATGCTCAGTTTTACCAGGGTAACTGTGTTTCAAAACGAATGTAGTAGGCTGTTTATTTTACATATAAAACCATTATAGACTGCCACTAAGAGACATTAAGTTTACAGTCAAAGATAAAGCCGCAGTTAAAAATCAGAAAAAGAAAAGTTCTGTGTTAATGTAGGTCGGAGGCTCTTCAGTTGGCTCAGTCCTCCATGTTTCCAACATTTTACCATAGATCACAGCAGCTTTCAAGCCTTCAGCAGTGTGGGAGGAGACTACTGGCTTTTCTGCAACATTACGTCATCCAGTTTCACCGCTTTGAAACAAGCGCCGCTGTTAGGACGACCTTAATGTGCTTTTATTCTGAAGGGGGGGAGGGGCCTGTATCACACACCCTCTCTCCAACACTGAAAGCGACACCTGTCCTTCAGGCATTAAAAAAGGAGGTCAGCATCAGAATCCTTGGGTTTCCAGGAGTTCATATGAAAAGGAAGAAAGTCGTGATGAGGTGAAAAATGACGCATATGATGCATGAAGGAGACGTGAACAGATTCAGCGTCACTTGGTGGCATGCCTGCCCAGGAACACGTCCTCCTCGCTGTGAGTCTTGTAGCTGCCGTTGTGCTGGGCGCACGGTGATGACGTCATTTCTTCACTTGAGCCGTCTCTGTCACTCCGATAATCTTCCTTTTCTACCCTTTTGTAGTCCTGCTGAATAAATCAAACAGTTATGGAGGAGATGAAACGATGGCTGATGCTGCTGTAAATCCAAACTAAGGGCGACAGACATGAATGCAATCAAAAAACACTATTTCTTCTTCATTTCATCCATTGAGCAAACATTTCAAAGTGCTCGAATGGTGGCAGCAAGTTTGCTAAAATTGTAGGTTATGACTTTTGACTTTTAACACTTTATTTACACAATTCAAACAATAGAATCAATTGTTGATGTAAAACAAGTGTCAGTAAAAAATCACTATTAATGTAAAAACAGTTTCTAAAAATCATTAAATGAGGAGCTTGTTAAATTGTAGTTGTCCATCTGACACAGTACATAAAATGTTGTACATGTTCTGTGTGGCTGTGAACCTCCAGCCTTATTCTCATTTCGGAGCAACGGCATCAAGGTGAGCCTTTGGCTTATTTTTCCATTTCTGGCAAACTCCTATAAAAAGAGAGTTTGTATAAACCGTCCCAAAAAGAGTAAAAACACAAATTAAAAAGCTAAAAATTGTCTTTAGTCTTGTGCATTCCATAAAAACATGGAACACATTTTTAGACAGGTTGCAGAAAGGACACTCGTTTAAAATACCCTGATTAATACCCGATAAAAACGAGTTTGTGGAGATGACACCGAGTAAAACAGGGTTTATACAGGGATGAGTAACTCAGTGCTAAAAGCTAACTTGTGGTACTGGTGTTAAACATCACATTTTATTTTCCCAGTGGAACCACTAGCACAACTGTTACTATTTATTTTGGATTAAACATATGAAAATAATCTACTTTTAAGCTACACCTATTTTTTTTTACCAAAATAAACATTGTAAAAAACATGAAAATCGATTTGAAAAGCTATGTGAAGGTTTCATGATCAACATCTGTACTTTATACGAGTTTGCTTAAGAATAATTGATTCACAACTATTTAACTTAACATTTATTCAGCTGCAGTTATCATTGTGTTTTTTTTTCCCTTAATAATATAAATAAAAGGAAACTGGTCCATTTAAAGGGCTAATAATCCGCAGTTGGGCTCCCTCTAGATATAACAGAGCCTTTGGTTAAAACATTTACCCAGTAGATCATCAACTGTATGTGAAGCTACCATGACTGCAGCCTTCTATTAGCATTTATTATAAACAGAAATTGCATCAAAGGACAATGTTTGGATCATGATGTAGCGTAGGTTGTGGAACATGTGAGTAGTTTCTGGTGATAGCAGCCATGATGGAGTAAGACACATTTTTCTGCCTGTCTGCCATGTTTGATAAACCTGTTAACTCTTTATAGGGCTCTCAGTGAAATACTTTGAAAATCTAAATGTCAAGCCAATAGTGTTATTGGAATCCAGAACAAGACCTTATTACCTTTGTAACATTCCAAAAATAAGGATATCAATATATGTCAATGTAATAAGAAATGCCAACTTGCCTGAATATATTAAGAAAAATAACAAAAAGGCTTCAATAAGAAATGAAAAACAGGGTGAAAGAAACACATCTTTTTGGTCCAACATAACCTTAGAGGCATTAATGCTGATACTGGCACATACATTTTTTTGTTTATAAACCTAAATATAATTGTTTACTGGGCTTATTAACTTTTTAACTTCTCAATTAGCTTCTTGCCTTTTTTTCTTAACTTGTTACATTTTTTTTTAACTTAATTTCCAGTAGGTAATATATAATTCAAGGGTTCATCTAATTGGGCAAAATAAGATGAACAGCCATGTAGCATCTTGTCCTTCTAGACCTCATTGAGGGACTGGGGGGGGGGGGGGACTCCATTTGTAAGTGATCAAAAACCGTAACTTTCCCTATAAAGGGTTAAGGCGTGTTTTGTGTTTATAGGAATGTAAAACCAAAAGCATTTGTAAATTGTATTTTTTTTAATACGTCTTACAAACACTAAACCCCCTCCTTTGAGGGATTTAGGAAAAATAAGGAAGTAAGCACTGCTGTATGACCTTTTAAAGCCAACAAAGAGAGAGAGAGCTTGAGGGTACGTTCAATTAAACAAATGCTAAAAGTTGGACAAAGTGGGCATTCTCCAGCCAAACAAGGCCCTGAAATATCAAACTGGTTTCAGAATGAATAACAAAGGCTAGAATAAAGCTTCTGAAGGGCCCTTAGGAAACACTGATCTGTGGTTTATCGAGCTGCAGCTGGATGGCGGATCAGAACAAGTTGGATGATTTTAGAGGCTTGAATGGACATATTTCAATGAATTAGGTGACAGGATTCTGGTGGGGTCAGTGATGGAAGTAATATTAGTTTAAAGAGAGGAACCAAAGCTCTGCCACCCTGGATGGACATTCAGAATCACGTTGGGATGTTTGGGATAATCTGAATTAAAAAAGGCTTCATGGTTGAAACACCAAAGGTATTAACTGCGTACCACTTAAAAAAAAAAAAGCTGTGAAGCGTTGCACGTCACAAAACTGTCTTTGCAGCTGCAGAACTCAGCATCAGAACAGCACTGTTTGAGGATGTTGCTTCAGCCGTCAAATGGCTCACGTTGTGATGCTTATCTTCAGATTAGATGGAGATAAGATAGGAAAAGGTGTCAGCTTGTTTTTTTTTTTTCAAAGCTGGGTGAAGCATTTGGGTGAAACTCTGCTATGCAGTGAACTCAAAAGTAGATTAGATTTGCTTTCTTTTTTGAAACAACTTCACAAGAAGTGGAAACATTGATCATACAGATTAGATTATGGGAAATTGGATGGGTTGTAATCTGCTGCGGTGCATCAATCCAAGCCTGAAATATACCCCCACGTTTGCTACGGCCAAACTCTGAACCTACTAAAAACTATTTTTAAGATGAGTTAAACTCATTTACAGATCTGCAGCACCCCTCACACATATCACCACCTTCTGCCAATAGCTTTTTAAATGCTTATAGGCTAAATATAATCAAACCACCTCGTCGTACAGCATTCAGTCACTTCAACCGATATGAGCCTTAACTTTTTCTTTTAGTCACAACATTAAGGTCAGAAAGACATTCAAGTCTTATAATAAGAGTGAAAGATATTTAACATAAGAAATGCATCTAAAACATGGCGTAAAGTCAGTTAAACAAACCGGAGATGCACCAATCAGAGAGCACAACAGCTCCAAGCATTAATCTGCTATAGAGCTTTATGCATTAATGTGGATAATAAAGTAATTCCTTCTTTCTCCCTTAGATTCACTCTACTACACATTTTGAAACCTGTCTTAAAATGGGAATTTTATCCCTCTCATTAGTTAACTTGTTTTCACCTTGGTGGTCTTGGATTTGCTCTTTATCCGATCCTCCTCTTTGTGACTCCTCTTCCTGGATGTGGAGCGCTCCTTCCTGTCTCTGCTGCGCTCCCTCCTCTTCTCCCTTTTACTTCTACAGGAGGCGAACAGACAGATTAGCAGGGAGAAATCTAACTGGTTATGACTAAAGTCAACAAAGTAACGAAGTAATAAAGTCTGATTGGAGGAATGAAATGTGATAGACTTGCCGTTTTGGTGAAGGTGATCTTGCTTTCCTTCGGGGGCTTCTGGACCGATCTCTGCTCCTCCGTTTGTGGCCCCTGAGAAAAGAAAGAGAAATCATGAACAGATATAAATTTTAATTCAAGTTCTATCAGAGCAGGGTTGAGATTTTAAGGAACATGGTGACACCTTGTGTCGAATGCAGGTATTACAGACCGATTGAACTACTTGAAAGAATAAAAAACTATCAATAAATAGCAATAAACAGACCTGGACCGACTCCTGGCGTGCCTCCTGTCCCTGGAACGAGAGCGCCTCTTATGGCCGCTTCTTGAACTGTGGGAGTCGGCCCCCGGCCAGGACCTTTGTGATGGTCTGCTCCACCAGCAGGGAAGAAGAAAAACATTAGAATGAACATCAAACCAACGATATTGAGTTAAAGAGAGGTAAATCCCAGCAACCTGTGTTTGGAGCGGGACCTCTTCCTACGCGACCTGGAGTGGGAACGGGAGCGCGTCCGGGAACGGGACCGGCGTGACCTTTGAGAGCGGCTGGAAGAGCGTTGCTTTGTTTCCACTAAAGAAACAAGCGGGAACTTCAGCATCAGGAAGGGAATTATTTCAACAGATCGCATAAAACCCAACATCCTACCAGGTTCTATGGCAGCAGCAATGGTGGACTGGGCCTCCCTCACCCTCTTCATCACACTCTCCAGCTCCTTAGCAGCAGCTTGGGGTGTCAGCTCAGGCGGTTTTACGATGGCGTTATTGGAATGATTGACCCTGAAACCGATTTAACCCTTCAACTCAGAAAACAGCAAACAGAATATAACCACATTTAACAGGAAATGTTCTAAGAACCTACTTCAGGGGTCTGTCTCCAAACATGACTCCGTTTAAAGTGAGGGCTCTGGCCACAGAATCCTGCTCTACAAACTCTACGAAGGCGAATCGGGTCGGCTGAGTCTCGTCTCCGGCCATTCGAACAAACTTCACGTCTCCCACCTGCTTAAAGAACTCCAGCAGCTGCTCAGCAGTGGTGGTCTGAGCCGAAAAAAAATCAGATAAAAGTGTCATAGATCGCAAATTTACACAAATAAAATGGTTTCCACACTAGGAATAATAATGAGAACCATAACTCTGTAGGCTATAAAAGTTTAAATGCCTTTTATTCTTTATTTGGATTATTAAAAAGAGAAAAGTTCAGAAACATAATAATTAGTCAGTAATCTGCATGTTTCAAAACCACAGTAATCCTCGGCTAATCTGTTCAGAGTGATGGTGCAGTTCAAGTTCTGCATGAGACTCAAAAGCTCCATACTAGAGCATAGTCTCTTTTAGATTAAAGTTAGATGTTTAAAACTTGTTTTCTCACGAAAACTTGTGTGAATCCAAAGGAAATTTAAATTCAAACAGTTGGGTAAATAAGTATTTAATAGATTTAGATTTCCCGCGAGGAATGTCCCAATTGCAGCCTTTTCATTTCCAAAAAGATACTGCAGCTTTAAATGTTGACCGATACAGTGACTGATCCAATATGATATCAGAACGAGTCCTACTTTTTCTTGGGATTTTAAAAAACTATTGACCCCCTAGTATAAACTGATATGTTACAAAAAACTTTAAACATGAGCAAACTGTTTCTATCAGACCTATGGCTGAGATTTTAGATGCAAATACTCAATTTTTAGCTGATATAGGATTGATTTCAGATATGAATATCCAATCAGGACATCCATATTCCTCACCAATTATATTATATTTGATCGCTTAACAATCAGCATGAGTTTTGGCTGACGGACCCATTGAGGGTGAATTTCTGCCCCAATCTTCCCCTTTCAAAAGGCCTGCCATTCTGTTGTGTATTTAGTGTGTTAAGAGCGACTGGGTCTGCTAAGTTAAATTCCAGCAGGTTGGATTGTTTTGGCCTAATATCCCGTCACATGTGGTGTGATAATCAGTATTTTTGCAGGTTGATGCAGAGCTTCTACCATTCAGAGGCGCTGAGCTGAGAACTGGCTGCATCCAAGCCGTGATTTCTGTTCCTGAAGAGGTGTTTGCAGAAAACCATCAAAAGTATTTATATAAAAAGGTTTCACTCCACTTTACATGGAGAGGTAGAAGAATGGTTTTTTTCAAGAAAAAGTGAGATTGCTCAGATCATTCCACTAAAATATTCATTTTCATAATTAATACCTAAATTAACTTAAAATTTCAAAACTTGCCAGCAAAAAATATTGGGATTTTATATTGTGTTCCTTGCAGTTCTGACTAAAGAAGGCTTTCTAATCACTTCCAGCCACTATGAAAGACAGCAGGAAATCCCAGAGAGATTAGGATTCCCAGTGTTACCACCTGCCTCAGATGAAAGTAACTGAACTGTTGAGTTTGGAGGATAAACGCTTTAGTGTACTGAGCAGAGGAGTGATGTGCTGCAATATTTGGGTCTGGGTCTTCCAGCATGAAAGTGACCTAGAACAGGCACAGCAAAAAAAAAAAGAAAAAAGGTGGCCCCATAAGAAGCATCTCAGGTCCAAATCAAATAGGAAATCTCTGTGAGAAACAGAAAGTCAAACATCTAGAGATCTTATGGAAGAAAGGACAGAAATCCCAGCTGAAGTCTGCAAACCTGTTCCAGAGCTACAGAAAGTGTCGTAAAACAAGGCTTCTATTCAAAATACTAAGCTCTAATGTGTGTTTCAAGTACTTAATTCATGCAGATATGGTGAGTTATTTTTTAAATAAACCCATGAATGGCTTTTTTTTTTTTCACAGTTACAGTTACTTGCACATGAAAATTACAAACCTCTTTCTCCTTTGTGAAAATCTTGCACATCAGTTACTTGTTTCCCCCCTAAACCCTAATCTACATCACAGCTCTTATTTCCAATTTCTATAAAATGTAAAAATGTCATCCCTTTCTTTTATAATCACAATGATAAACTTTAAACTTAATCACATAAAGCCCCAGTAACACTATTAAAATACAGTTCATAGGGGTACTGTAACTTAACTTTAAAAAAAAGGGTCAAACTTGAAAGGTTTTAGATGTTTAGGGTTTTTTTTTTTTTTTAATAGAAGGAGTCGTGATAAAAATACGCTGGCTGTTTTATATTAATGCACTAAACTGCATTTTCAGTTTAGAGCATTTCTAACATCAATCTTTGATTTACAAATTTAAAGTTTGTACAGCTTTATCCAACCTGCTCTTTTTAAAAAAGAATTGCAACATATGTGAAGCCCTGTGCAGGCAGCCGAGTCAAACTTCTGCAACACAATATTGAGCATAATGAATGGAAGACAACAGTTTAGCCCGTTTGGGAATGTGATGCTAGTTATTCTTTAAAACTAACTTCCTCTTTATTCCAATGTTAAACCAAGGAATAACAAAAGGAGAAGAAAAAGTATGGTTTAATAGATTTATTTATGTAGATTTAGATCTGATCTTACCTGTGAGTTTAGGTTTCCAACATAAACCGTCCTCCTAATCTCGTCGATCTTAGATGGGTCCACATTCCCGACGAGGGGAGGCTGAGCGAGCACGGACGCCGTGGGATCTAGCCCCGCTGTGATCCGACTCACTAAAGGGAGGCTCAGCTGTGGGTGGAAACCGTACAGACGGAGGTTAAATTCAATCTGGTCAGGTGGGGAAAGGGAAGGGGACGGTAACTCACGTTCTGAAGCGGAGCCGGAGCGGGAATCGGCAGCAACCCTCCGCCTGGAATCAGACTGGGTACCGGGGTGGCAGGTGCCAACAGAGACAGAGCCTTGGCCTCTTCTGGAATTTTCCCTGCAGGATAAAACGGATGTTAGGGAAGGCAGGGGAGGGCGCGCTTCTCTGTCTCCTCTATGTCTGCATATTTATCCCACTGTATTCTAGAGAGAAAAGGATCATCCAGCCTAAAATCCAGCTACGTGCTACTCATGGCATACACGAGCCCCAACATCCTTACTTGGATTTTTTAAATCAAACTTAAATCTTCTCAGTTAATAAGCAAGATTAATAAAAAGTGCACAAGAATAGCTTTTTATGCAGAATCAATAAGGCCACAGATTTCAGCTGCTTTTCTTTCTTTTTTTTTCTATAGGTCATTAAAGAAAAAAAGAAAAAAAAACACAATGCAGAGAATGAGTCAACACTTTGATGTATGGGTCACCTGTACTGGAAACATATTGGTCATGAACCATACGATATCAAGCATGGGCGCTTTTCCGTGGGGGGAGGGGGCGATCGTTTCGCAGTGTTGGAAAGGTGTGCAACACAAGACAACCCCAATGGCTGCATCACTAATAGCACACAGAACATCAGATACAGAAAAGAACAACAATTTTTAAGAACTTTGGAAATGCTGGAGATCAATAAAACAACCAATTAGGAATTGTGCTCATGCCACTGTGGATAAGAATACTCTCTCTTTGCAGAGGAGGAGAAGCAAACAGCCATAGTGCCTTGCAAAATTATTCACCACACCTCTACTAGTCTGCGTTTTTATCACGTAGCAGCCACAGACTCAAAATAAAGTATCATTTGCATGAGGATTGAAAAACACAATGATGAATGGTTTGTTTTCTTCCATGTAGATAAGTTTTCTTTAGTCTGATACCCCTAAATAAAATTCAGCTGAAATAACTGCCTTCAGAAGTCATTTTATTAATTAATCTATTCCACTCTGTGAGACAGAATAGATTCAAACAGTCCAGCTGCTACTTACAGGTCTCTGAGACCAAGAAACAAAGCAGACAGGTTATTTCTAAAGCTTGGAGGGATTTTAAAAACCAGGGTTTGGTTAGAAAACATTAAAAGAATCATACAGATCTTTGAAAAATGAATGTCACTGTAGCAGGGACAAAGAGCTTAAACAAAATAATCTACACGAGAATACGTGGCAAACTTTAAACCTAATTTTAAATCCAATCGGACTGAGCTTAAGCCTGTTTTATAGATACGTTTTTAGTTTGCAGACATGCTCACATACACTACAAGAAACGCAACTGTAGCTACATTGCACATGTGCCGTTCTGTGTTGACGTTGCACGTCTTGCAGCAGTTACGAGACAAAATTAGCACAACTTGGTGAACAATATTGCAAGGCACTGTCTGGTTTTACCAAGAACTAAAGAAAATTTAGCAAAAAGGGGGGAGAAAGTAACCATATATGTAAAGCAAAACATGAACAATGTATTATTAAATGTATTACAAAGAGAGAATGATGCTACACTGATCAGTTCTGTGTCATTACTAAACATTCACATCAGTAATGTGAAGAAGAAGAAGTAAAGGTTGCCTTTTAGTTCATTGTTGAAAAGGTGAACAGATAGTTTAAAAGAAAGATATATATACATATGATTTATTACTGGGCTCACTTTTTTTTCCCCCACCAAGACTAGCCCTTCACTACGTCAACAGACGCAGGAGACAAGAGAACAAAAGAGTTAGTGATCCTCATAGCATCTTTTGTGTGGCACATTTCCCAGCGGTGTGCCGTAGCAACCTGGACTGAACTCAATCACACACAAGCTCCAGCTGTAGCGGAAAGAGAGAGGGGAGTGGGGGGGTTGGACAATAATAAAAAAAAACAAACAAAAATAACAAATATAAACACAACCTGCAGTTTCTAGATAGAGACAGTAGAGAGTGGACAACATGGGATAGTATGAAAAGGAAACAAACCGAAAAAAATAAATAAAAATAAAATAAATGATAAAAAAAAAAACAAAAAGAGACAAGGTGTCCATCTTGGAAGGTTCTGCGGGCTATTCTCCGGGTCACATCCCCCCCTTGAAGGCTGCGTTGGCCCGATCGGGGATAGTGGCTTGGAAAACAATGCCTGACTCAGGCTAGTGTAGTGTAACAGCTGGGCCACTCTAGTCATCTGATATGCACACATAATCACACAGAAAAAACATACAAAACCAAATTAATAAACTCAGTAGCCATCCAGCACCAAGTCACGTGGACACAATGCATCAGGTTAGAAGTGTAATCATTGTGAGTGTACACAGGGGTACCAAACAGGGGGAGGTGGGAGTTTAACCAAAAAGAGCACTAAAAAATAAAAAGGGAGGGAAAGAGAGTTTACTTTTAAGCAATGGATTTGGTCACATTTCTTTCAAATACACAATTTGCAATTCAACAAGAGCTGAAACAATCGATTCATTAAATAATATTGAACTAATTTAGTATTTGATTAATGGTAACGAGTAAAGACTCTAAAACATGCCTTTAGCTGAAAGAGCAACCCACTCAGAGCAGTAATTATACCTCTATTGTAAAAAGTAAACATTTTGTATTTAAGATGAAAAGCCTTTTTTTGCCCATCGATATACTTTATCTAGAATTTTTAGTTTCACCTGGCTTCAATTCTGTACAAAATCCTCTTTAAGGACGTCTTTTCTGTCCGATTAGTCAAAAAAATAATCAACGGATTAATTGATTCGCAAAATAATCATTAGTTGATGCCCTAAATTCCCCAAAGACCGGTGTTTAAGGTAAATTGGTTAACTTTTAACTCCTACGCCAGAGCCACGGACACCAAACAGAAACCTAAATGGGTTCTTGGAGACCTTATCTACAGCTCTACCTATAGCAGGGACTGACTAACAATGTACACTGCTCCAAAAAATAAAGGGAACACTCAAATAACACATCCTAGATCTGAATAAATGAAATATTATCCTTAAATATTTTGTTCTGTATAACATTGAATGTGCTGACTACAAAAATCACCCAACAATCATCAATGGAAATCAACTGTATTAACCAATGGAGGCCTGAATTTGGAGTCAGGTACCAAATTAAAGTGGAAAGACTTCATTCGGATTCAACTTTGATGCAATGTCCTCAGTATTGTGTGCGGCCTCCATGTGCCTGTATGTCCCTGCAATTCCTGGAGATGCTCCTGATGAGTTGGTGGATGCTCTTCTGAGAGATCTCCTCCCAGACCTGGTCTAAAGATCCACCAACAGTCTGTGGTTCAACCTGACGTTGGTAGAGGGATCCAGACATGATGTCCCAGATGTTCTCAATCTGATTCAGGTCAGGGCAACGAGCGGGCCAGTTCCTTCAACTTGCAGGAACTGCTGACACACTCCAGCCACATGAGGTCTAGCATTGTCCTGCCAACTGCACCAGCATATGGTCTCACAGGACGTCTGAGGATCTCATCTCGGTACCTAATGGCAGTCATGCTACCTCAGGCGAGCACATGGAGGACTGGGCGGCCCTCCAAAGAAATGCCACCCCTCACCATTAATGACCCACTGCAAAATCTGTCATTCAGAAGGATGCTGCAGGCAGCAGGCTCCACAGTCTGTCCAGACTCATGTGCTCAGTCCTGGTTCTATCCTGGTATTCTCTGGCAAACACCAAGCATCCTGCACAGTGATGGGCTGTTAGCACAACCCCTATCTGTGAACGTTGGGTTCTCATACCATCCTCATGGAGTCTGTTTCTAACTTTAGACCCATGCAGATTTTTTGGCTGCTGGATGTCGATTTAAAACACTCCTATATTGAGTATGTCCTAACTGCCAATGACTTCTACCTGTTGTCTAATCCATTTGCACAACGGCATTTAAAAATGATTATTAATCAGTGTTGCTTTCTAAGTGGACAGTTTGATTTCAGAGTTTGATTTGATTGAAGTTATATTGTGTTGCTTGCATATTCCCTTTATTTTTTTGAGCAGTGTACATTAAATCCATTATAGGCATGGGCCATTTTTCTACCATTAAGTCATAAACAAAATATTAAAACCTAGTTCCTGTCAAGCTGTTCCTATGGTTTAAAGTCCCAAAAACTATCAATGGATCATTCTCTTGGGTAAAAAAACGAAACAAAAATCAGACAATTTTGCATGCATCACCTCCAATCTTATAGGTTTATAGTTTTTCTATAAAATCATTAATGAACAAAGTGGCCTTTATGATGCTAAGATTGTTAAACTTCAGATTAGATTTTCTAAAACAGTTCCTAAAAAGGATTTCTTATAAAATATTAAACTGAAGTAAATTCTGCTGGATTGGGATCCAATGTCTCTGTAAACGAATCCACAGCAGATTCCCTCTTGTGTTTTGGGCCAAAATGAATGAGAAAAATGCACGTTTTTATTGTTACATCTCTATTTTATATCTTCATCTCTATTTTTGAGATCAGCAGCTAATGTGAGCAGATTTATCTTCACCAAAGAGCACAACCCCTCCCCTACCTATTGCTGCACTCCTAATCAGCTAGCAAACAGAATGCTGCTACAGATATATATATATATATATATATATATATATATATATATATATATATATATATATATATATATATATATATATATATATATATATAGGCCCATCATGCCTGCTGTTTCCTAAAGAGAAGAACCCCCTCAATGATAAACAAAACTATAAACTCCAGAGAAGACGTCCACTCTTATTTATTCAGATTTTTATTGTAATATAAGCTTGAAACAATCAGCTGTTACTCACCTTCTGCGCAGGGCACCACTATCAAAGCTCTGTCTATAAAAACAGTGTTGGTGAGATGCTGCGCCACCCCAACACTGGAGGGGTCTCGGTACTTTATATAACACACTTTGGAGGAGAATGACAAGGTGGTGTTGCTGTGTGGAGGAATACGGGAAAAATGGATAAAGTTAGTAATAAAATAACGTTAAGGACAGCGACAATTTGTGGTTTCCTAACAAGGCCGCGTCTCCGCGGCGTTTCCTAGCTAGCTGAGACCCAATGAAAGCAGCTCTTACTCGGGAGGATAGAGACGAAGCTCCTCGATGTCTCCCAGGAAGCCGAACAGAGTGCGCATCTGCTCGCTGCTCACAGCCGACGACAAGTTGGTGACCTGAACGACTGCTGTCCCCGGTATACCGCTCATTTTGCAAAAAATAAAAAAAATAAATCAAACGTTTCGTGTTATATATTTTCAAACTAAAGTGTGTACTGTATTATTATTTTTCAGTTATCCTTCTCGACGCCAGAGGGCGGTGCGGCTGATTTCTTCTTCTTCGGTTTTATGGCAGTTGGCAAACTAGTTAAAAGTGCATTACCGCCACCAGCTGGTAAGGAGTGCAACAAGGAAACAGGAAACAAGGGCTGATGCAGCCAAGATTCAACCCCAGAAATGAATAGATAAAAAAATATTTCCGAACTGTTTAACTTAACCAAACATAAATCATAATTTCTAATTTATCTTTACGTTACTTTACGTCACTCTGCCAGTTTCTGATGGTGCTTTTTGGTTTTCCCATCATGCTTTCAACCATTTCCCATTTTAAATCTAACTTCAAGATACTTTTCTGCAGCTTTAAATATCATTTTGTTTTTTTTCGGTTTTCCTTGTCTGTGCACTATAACTGATCACTTCTACCATGAAAATAACATTTTTTATTTATTTTTTTATACAAAGATTGCGGCTGATTTTGCTGCTCTTCTTGTTTTTAACAGGGTCTGGGAGTGAGATTTGGGTACTACAGCTCCCCCTAAAGGAAAAACTAATACACTACAGCCAAAATTTTGCCTGTTTCTGCAAAAGCATAGGAAATACCAGTCCTACAGTAAAAGTTGACAACCAAGATTTTAAATGTTCTTTTCAAAGCCAGTCACTAACATTAAGCAATTAAATAATTCATTTTTTATTAATAGAACTACAAGAGCCCATGAGGTCGACCAACACTTCCACAATTTAACACACACAGACACTTATGACTGCAATATAATTAATATAAATAATAAAGTTCCAAGATTACATTCCACAGAATTGAAGTGACTAGACACTATCAGTACTAGATAAATACAATTGAAACGAGATAACACAAAGTGTTTGTATTAAAAAAATTATACAGTGAGGAAAATAAGTATTTGAACTCCCAGCTTTTTTTTTTTTTTTTTTTGCAAGTTCTCCCACTTAGAAATCATGGAGGTCTGAAATTGTCATCATAGGTGCATGTCCACTGTGAGAGACGTAATCTAAAAACAAAATCCAGAAATCCCCAATGTTTGATGCAACTGAAAATAAGTATTTGAACACACTGCTTTTTTTTTTTGCAAGTTCTCCCACTTAGAAATCATGGAGGTCTGTAATTTTCATCATAGGTGCATGTCCACTGTGAGAGACATAATCTAAAAACAAAATCAAGAAATTCCCAATTTGTGATGCAACGGGCTCTATGCACAGCTCCACTACTTCCTGAATTTAATGCAGCTCCTTTGTTTCCTGTCTTTCATTACTGGACGAACTGATTAATCCAGGTGTGTCTGGCCAGTTACTTAGGTCATACACACCTGGATTAATCAGTGCATCCAATCATGAAAGACAGGAAACAAAGGAGCTGCATTAAATTCAGGAAGTAGTGGAGCTGTGCATAGAGCCTACTGAAAATAAGTATTTGAACATTTATCGGATAGATTTCTGACCCTCAACGACCTGTAAGTGTGCCTGTTCTGTCCACCTCATGTCCATTTATTATCCTACATTAGATTCACTCCTTTGAGGTTGTTAACTGCATAAAGACACCTGTCCAGAATCAAAGTACTAACATGGCAAAGACCAAAGAGTTGTCCAAAGACACTAGAGACAATTGTACACCTCCCCAAGGCTGGAAAGGGCTACAGCGAAATTGCCAAGCAGCTGGGTGAAAAAAAAGGTTCACTGTTTGTCATTAGAAAATGGAAGAAGCTAAACATGACTCATTCTCCCACGGACTGGTGCTCCATGCAAGATCTCACCTGGTGGGGTCTCAATGATCCTAGAAAGATGAGAAATCAGCACATAACTACACTGGAGGAGCTGGTCAATGACCTGAAAAGAGCTGGAACCACAATTTCCAAATTTACTGTTGGTAATCCACTAAGCATCATGGTTTAAAATTACAGAATGCACGGAGGGTTCCCCTCCTTAAACCAGCACATATCAAGGCCTGTCTTAAGTTTGCCAATGAACATTTGGCTTGTCCAGAGGAGTCATGGGAGAAAGTCATGTGGTCAGATGAGACCAAAATAGAACTTTCTGGTCATAATTCCACTAACTGTGTTTGGAGGAAGAAAAATGATGAGAACCTTTCCAAGAACACCTTCCCTTCTGTGAAGCATGGAGGTGATAGCATCATGCTTTGAGGGGTGTTTTTCTGCACACGGGACAGGGCGACTGCACCGTATTAACGAGAGGATGACATGTATTGCAAGATTTTGGGGAACAACCTCCTTCCCTCAGTTAGAGCATTGTAGATGGGTGGAGGCTGGGTCTTCCAACATGACAATGACCCAAAGCACACCGCCAGGATAACCAAGGAGTGGCCCACACATCCTGAACATAAACCGTTTAGACTCAGTACTAAAGAGCTTCATTTACAGAAACCAGCCGCCACAGAAATTGTTTTTCTTTCCCTCCCAGGCTGATAGCAATATTATTTGCACAAATCCAAAAAAAATCTTCATATTTCTGTAGAAACATTTAAATATTAACAAGAAAAGTCTTACGGCGATAATTTTTAGTTAAGTTATACCAAAATGTCTTCATTAAACTCCACGTTGTTTGCACCTTCCTGGTGATAAAAGCACATTTTGAAAGACAGAATTTAAATGAGTATATGACATTCAGATACATTGTGCTATTTAATGAGTTATTCCGTTTTTTTTTCAGATAACAGAAGAACAAGAGCGTCACTGTTAAACAGCATTAGTTTATTGTCCCACAGGTAAATGAAACAGGAAATTATGTACAAAAATCTGGAATGTTGGATAAATGCATATCAATCATCTCACTGTGACCGTTTCCAGAGAAACATTAGAAATACTAGCTATACATTTAAATGGGAGCTTCTGCATTGCAATTTATTGCTGGTTTTACAATCGCAAGTCACAGATTATTTTTTTTTTTTTCATATTTACAGTTAGATTAGTAAGGTCTAAAACTCCGTGTAAGTCTGCTAAATAAATATAAAGGTGGGAGCGAAAAAAAAACAAAATAAAAAAACATGGATGAAAAACAGCGAAAAGATTGGTTTTCAACTCTAGATTGTCTAAAATAGACAACTTTTTTTCAAAGAAATTATAAAGTGACCATAACCCAAGAAATTAATCTCAAAACAAAGCAATTTTTTAAACAAATACAATCAATGATTTCATCAAAATACAATACAAACCAAGAAAAATCAAATTTTCTTGTAGATAAAAAACAATTTCAGATCAAGCATTGGAACTAATGGTCAGTTTCATTTAGGACAGATCTAAGAAATAGAGCGGATGTTTCTTTAATTTGAGGACTTAACATTTAGCAACTGCATTTCTATTTGGCTGCCAATGCATATAGCATAAAATTCAAATATCCAGCTGGACTATAGATAATATCCTACTGACAACAAGTGGAGGATGTTTCTATATTTATATTAAATGGAATTAAGTGAACAATGAATGTATTTTATAGTTTCCACTGGTTAATGGAAACATGTCTCATGGTTCCATCTGAACAGCAACCGACTAAAAACATTGATCACACTTATTTCACACAATCCTTTAACAAGTGTTTAGAGAATTACCAGATCAGCTCCATCTAGAGTGGAAATGGAAAAATTTAAGACAACAAAAATGGCGAGACATCGAGTACTTGAAAATCAGTAAAATGTCTCAGCCACAGTGAGAAAAATTGTTGCACATTTTTTTGGGAGCAATGCCACACACACACACACACACATCCACACACATAATTTCTGTGCCATTTCATTATTTAAAAAAAAAGATTTCACAATATAAAAAAAAAATATGTAAAATCATAGGAGTACTAAAAGCTTGTGTTTAGTTTTAAAAACGATGCTGTGAATGAAAATAAAGGCTTTAAAATATTGCTTTGAAGCCATTGTGGTGCAAATGTATTCAAAGGGTTGTGAAAGTGGGTATTGCTTGGGTTCCTGGGGCGGTTGCACGTCCTCCCCTTGTTCCAACAGTTCAAGGTCTATGGCACTTGACAGTTTGTGTCTCCCATATCTGTTCTCTGTACAGTGATAAAAAAAATAAGACCGCATCAAAGGGATGGGGGAAAAAAAAAAAAGACACAAAAGGCAATCATGGTTTACAGAAAAAAGTTAGATGGCTGCCTAGGTTCCTAGGACCTAAAGATAAAATCCCACAGCTTTCTGAGTTCTGCCTTTACCCTCCGTTTCTTTTAATGCTCGCTTTGGTTGATTAAAATAACCTTGACATATTTTCATCCAAACCACGGGAAAAGCTAGCTTGTCTACCCCTAGCACCTTTAAATCCTCCTGCCTGAACTAAATGTGCTTATTGGCTCTGTTTTGGTCCTTCTCCCAAACAAGTTGTTTATTATGATACCAGGACCCACTTACTCTCCCAAAAAAATGAGGAATCCCATCCCGTTTCCTTGTCCTGTTGTAGGAGCACCTGGATTTCTAAAAACATCTGATGAGCTGGGATGAATCTCTTGGATGGCACAGGTCTGGTTATCCAGAACAGGAGTGAGGTGTCCGTGTGCTGGTGGATCTTCACAGGTTCATGGAAGCCGGGGGTGAATGATTCCCTCTGGTTTTGCTCTTTGATCTTCTGATAAAAACAGAGACCAACGCCTCCTTGATCAACATCCGTCTCCCCATGAGAAGCACGTAACACAGTCCCTTTTGATAATGTTGCCTGGCAACTGGGAAATAAAATTGCTAAATTAAAAAAATAAAAACAAAATAAAAGGTTTGGACAGAAGAGAAGAGTGGGAGCCCTGCCCCCTAGTGGTCGCCTCCACACCCCAAGTGGTTGATAAGTTGTTTACTTTAAAAAAACAAACCAACTGAAAGCTGATCTATACAGAGACCACAGAGTTTCCATCAAATCTTCAGCTTTTTTTACTGTAAAAATATATATATGTATGTATACCACAGTGGCGGCCTTGTGAGGACACGTACTTGCATGTGTTTGATGCTGTCTCACTAAGATCCACTACATTCAGTGGTTTTCTCCATTTCATCGAAGCGACAAAAGACCTCAGAGGATCTCAGCTAGAAATAGTCCCAATAGGTGTCGGCAGACCAGTCTCTTATATGTGACAAGTCACTATAAATCTCTATGTTCTTCTTCCATGTGCCGCGTCGTTCTGCAGTAGGACAGATTCAGCCGAGTCTATGCTTGCATTTCTCTTACGATAATTAAATCCACAGTGGTAGGAAATGTCTTCAGCAGGGACACGGCATTCCCATGATCGATATTGACAAAGCTATATCCATTCGCCTGTGGACATATAGAAACAAAGTTTACTGCAACTTGATCCAACAGCACATGTGTGATACTAATTACCTTTTTTTCTCCAAAATACCTGAATTATTTTATCTCCAGGTTGAAGAACTTTGAATGCTGGCCCCTCAGGCTGAACTCGAGTCACAAAAATGCCCTAAATAGAAACAAAATTAAAGATATTTAATCCAGTTTTATTTTCCACTGCTATACCAGAGTCTTTATTTCTAAGTACCACATAATTGCAGATTTTTAGTCCCAGAGCTCTTTTATCAGAGATAGAAATCCACTGATTGACGTATGGATGGATGGATAGTAGCATGTGGGCAGATGGAGGGCTCATTCTCTTGCATATTAATAGTTTCCATACCGTTTTCCATTTTTAACTTATTCAGATCTGCCAAACCTTTCCAGACATTCAAGGGGGAAAAGAATCAAAGTAAAAAGAAAGAAAGTAAAAGATGTAAGCTTACATTATCATCTGGACGGAAGGGGTTCCCCCGGCCTCCCACTCCTCCTGATATACTGAAACCCAGCTCTGGATTCTTCTCTACTTTCACACGCATCTGAAACAAACCAACACATTTTTGATAAGCCATTGTTTCACTTCATTCACCGTCGGTTACACATTAAACAAAATCAAATGCTTTGTAAATAGAAGGTTGTTTTATGAAGGTAAGCTTAGCGTACGGAAATAGGTTTATGTTGGAGGAAGTAGTTAATCTGGATGAAAAAACAAACAAAACAAAATCCCTCCTGATGGGAAAGTCTGAAAAAAATACCAGAAATGTGAAGCCTTCAAAGAGCAATTAAGACGAGGAAGCAGCAAATGAAGAAAACCCTTCAGTTTTTAGAAAAGGGAAAATATGGCATCAGATCTTTTGAGAAAAAAAGTTATATGGTAAATGCAGAAAAGAGGGAAAAAAAAACAAAAAAACAACTAAAATCTCATATTTTCTGGCCCAGATTCATGCAACCATTATCTACACCAAAATATAATCTCATCATTTCAAAGTTTACATTTTTAATAAAATAAAAGTCAAAGTATTTCTACTCCTTGAACGTTTTTTAAAAACATTTTTTGAATTTACAACCACAAACCTACATGTATTTCACTGGTTTTTGATGCGACACTGAATGTAGCACATTTGATATTAACTAGACAAAAACATTTACCTGTTCTTTTTTTTCCCCTACAATAACTAAAGCTCATTCTGTTAGTTGCAGGTTTGGGTTTCAAGCCAATCTAACAAATGAACAAAGTTGGTTCTAAACAGTCATATAAATTATAGCCCTGGCTCTATGTTTAGGATTATTGCTCTGTAGGTGGAAAGACCTCTGATCCAAATGAGTTTTTTTCATCTGTCATCCTCCTGTGTTCATCTCTTTCTACGTTTTCATCACCTTTGACCAGCTTTCCTGCTAAGGGATGATGGGTAGAGTTGGGCACCGAGATTCAATAGGAACCAGTTCTATCCGTAGAGCTGGTATGATTAAACTCCACCTAATGGGATGACAGCCCCGTATTTGTAAGGAATTACATTCCTCTAAATCCGTAGTGCACCTTCTTCAGTGAAAACGGAGACGGCCCTAACCCTTTTTTATGCTCTCTCTACTTCGTCTTAACCATCTTAACAGATACCTGCCTCATGTTCTGCATGTAATGTAGAGCAGTTTGATGTAGATCTGTCAGAGTTATGAATAAACTTATGTGTCGCTTCATCAATTGTTTATTAAAGTTCATTTGGAATCTGATTTCTATGATGAAACTCACTAACTAAATAAAATCAATTGCCAAAAAGGGAAATATCGCAGCCTCCACATTTATTAAAGTTGAACTGAGGTGCAGAAACACTCGGCCCTAAACCGAAGTGTCAGAATCAGGGAAATAAAGTCGCTTAGTCTTAATACGGCACAAGTACCTGCAGCATCAAATGCTGGATATATGTAAATGTCTTTTAGTGAGGTTTTAAGAAAAGAGAAGAAAAAAAAAACACTCCATGTGAAAGAGTAACTTAAAAAAGCAAATGTGTAAGATTTAATAGTGATAACATTTTTGATATTTATATGCTGGTTGGAAATAATTGTGGAATATGATAGCAAACGTTACATTTTCATTATCATGCAGACCAATGGGTTCAGTTTTAGTTAGATCTGTCCAGAGTATCTTCTTCCTCATGCCTACCGTGTCATTTTAACAACTTGTTACAAACTGAGGGCTTTTTGCGTATTATTTGCCATATAGATCTATACAATAATCAATATGGCACTATTAGCTTGTTTAATGTTTAGGGATTAAGATATTTTCTTGTCAAAACAGCAGCAAATGATAGACATTTTTTATTTATTGATATAAATTTTTTTGGTCTCCACTATCATCCTGGATTAACTACCATCTTAGCTCTATGCAATGAAACCCAAGAGAAAATATATAAAAAAAATCTACCAAGATACACAGAACCAGACATATATAATTGTATGTGCAGAAAGAAAGCAGGAAGTTGCACAAGAAGAAGCTTAGGAGGCCTGAGTGTGCACCGTTTAAAGGGATTATACAGCAGGACCCAGATTTCCTGACCTACAAGGAAAGATTAGCTTAGTGTTGCAAAAGAAAATGAGTCCACACCTCTTGCTGCAGCGTGTCGTGAGGAACACGAGGCCCATGAGGCTGCTGGGAGACTTTGAGCATCAGATAGTCAATGAGCTGCTCTCTGGAAGGGTGACGAGCCATCGACGACATCGGGATCTGAGGACGAACCGAAGGGCCCATCTGACCATTCATCAAAGGCACCTAGCAACAGAGACGTGGCAAACAGAAGACCCAGCTGCTGATTTAGACTCACTTTTTACAGGTTCAGCTCATGACTGAACTTTTTACAAAAATCTATTTAAAAAGTGCCCCTTCTTTCAATCTGAAACCCCCTGAAATAAAATCTAGATATCTAGAAATATTCAGATTCTCCACGGGTTACACCTACTTTTCTGTGAGGATCCATGGAGTAGCTCTGTGGTCCTTGTGGGACAAAAACATCATCCTAAAAAGGAACATTTAGATAATCATTTCTCTGAAATGAAGCAGATCAAACATCTTCTATAACTCTTCAATCAAAATGTAAAACACTGAAGGGATGATGGGGTTATATTTGTTTAATATTGACACCAAACAACAGCGAGGTCTGGATTTAGCAGAGAGGGACAGGATAAAACACATCAGCTCTTAAAAAGCAAAGATTCTGCCATTTTGATTCAATTCAAGAGGTGAGCAGGAAGTAGTTTAAGTTCAGAGGAAAGGAAGAGGTTGCACAACAAACACTGAAAGATCAGAAGTAAAAGTCTCCATCTACAGTCTAATTCCCACATCTATGTCAAAATCACGCCTATTGAACCATCTTACCTCTCAGCAAGACATGTTTAACCCCAAACAGCGGGTAGGGTGTTATGAAGTCGGGCTGATGTGATCAAAAGTGTGAATGAAGACGATGAATGAGCAAACGTAAGCATTGAATGTGAGGTTAAAGGAGAAAACTGTACGTATGAGACGGCCTTCGCAATCACACCAGGGTTTATTTGTGGTGAGGAACACTGGGATGGTTTTTATGATGTTAAAAGTCCCAGCATGTTTAAAAGGGGCTGTTCTATGTCAGATGAAAACAAGGTGGCTTAAAAAATGACTTAAACATCATTAAGGTTTGTGATTGGACTCTTGGTTTATAGCTGATTGGGCTATATAACACACAAACACAGCCCCTGTTAAACAGCTTTTCCTACAATGATCACAACCAACAGGAAACTGGAAATCTTCCACATGTCCCTCTAAAATCAAGCACCAGGCATTCATTTTAGTGATGAGAAATCAGATGTTGAGAAAAGCTAAGCTCATATTTAAAAAAAATAAAAATGAAAAACTGCCTCTGAGGCTCTGATCACATCTCAACATCTGCCAAACAGGGAAGCGGATATTTCCTCTACTCTCAAAAACGATGTGAAACTAGCAGAAGCTGGAGGCGCTGGCTTAGTAGGAGCTGCAGGGGTTAACTACAAGTCTGGAGTACTCACACGGAAGCTCAGGGCTCCGTAGGGCTGTCGCTCAGAGCCGCTAATCACCAGGCCTCCTTGGCTGGCATGCATATCCCTACAGCTGCCGTACTGTGACCAGCTCAGCGGAGAGGTATTGAAATTATAGGAGCGAGACAGCACATTCTGACGACAAGGAAGCAGCAGCCGGCATGTCAGAGGTCGGCATGCAATCCACCAAACGAATGAGAGAACCCCCCCAAAAACAAAAAGAAAACGAAAAAAAAAAAAAAGGGAAGACAGACAGAAATACAGTGAAGACCAGCATGCAGTGAATCAGAGTTCTATAGATGGGTTAGTAGCTGCTGGTGAACACCTACTCCTATCTGTTAAGCTCCGTTATACAAAAATGCTTTCATTTAACAGTAATGGCTCCACATTTGAACCTCTAAAAGTGTGAAACATTCTGGTTTTGTATTTATACACATACACATAATATATATATATATATATATGTGTGTGTGTGTGTGTGTGTGTGTGTGTGTGTGTGTGTGTGTGCGTAAAAAATGATGTTGCAAGAAAATTATCTTTAGTGCAGAGCAAAGATGTAGAATTGTAAACCAGATGATAACTGGGAGAAAAAATATATTTACAGAATTTGCATAGAAAAAACTAACAGAATTGATTTAATTCAGGCATAGGAATATCAAACCTATCTTTATATATATTTTTAAAAAGTTTTCTAATTGTAAAAAAACCCACAATATATTTAGAGGTAGTTTCTAAGTACCTCTTGTGCAGCAACACCTGATTATATCAAAGATCATCAGCCTTGAATATCAAACTATTAGATAATGAAGTTATTATCTCGAAACAAGCAGTTTTTAAAACAACCTAACACTTACTTTAAAGTTTTAGATTTACACCAATGAAAACTTTGAGAGTTTTAATAAAAGGCATCTTATCCATGATAATCCACCTACAAACTGGCTTCCTATAAAAAGCCTCCACCTGTCGCTATGAATGAATTACCACAAACATCCACAGTACCTGCATCATGGTGCATGAGATGTTTGTGAAACTAGAAATATTTCCAAGCATCTGTCTTTCTTTTGGGAAAGGGGAAACTTTAAGGGGTTACTTTGAACCTGCTGAGCAAAAGTGTGCAGCAACACGTGGGGGAGGAGCAGCACTTCTTTAATATTCTCTGTTGAGTAAGTGAAAACTCAGATCACTCAAGACCCCTTTTCTGGCATAAAATGACTTTAAAAAGCAAAAATCTGAAGTGATTTTGAAGACATTCATGGCATGTAAGAAGAAGACACACAGCATAATCAGCACATCCAAACCTAATTATCCAATAAAGAAGAGAAAAAGAGAGTGGAACATTTTGGCAGCCACAAAAGCAGATAATGCCAGCACTCCTTACCTTCTCCATCTTCTTTGCCTCGATATGCCGCATCACTTGGTCCCGCCAGTCCGTTGGCACCCGCCCAGGTCCCATCCCTCCTGACACCTGACCCGGTCCGTCCAGAAGCGAGTGCTCGGACTTCACTCTGGCGTTGGGCCGCTTGCTGGGGCTGCCTTGCTGGTAGCTGAAATCACTAACAGACATGGTCCTTTCTGGAAGCTCGTGGGGCTGAGGCCTGGTACCCACAGGCCTGGAAGCTCCGGGTGCATCAATGCTGTAAGTGCGAGCAGAGAAAGGCCTCTGCATGGCCTGGCTCATTGCCAGGGGCCCCCTGGCGAGGGTGTGAATGTCCCTGTAAGTCATGTACTCCCCCTCCGGCATCTGGATGCGCCTCGGGTCGCCCATGGAGACTGAGGAGGCCGAGCTGCTTTGCCGCTGCAGAGTGTTGCTTCTGGGCTGCCCGCCGGTGGAGTGGAGCCTCTCCTTGGTCCAGTCTCCCATGGGGGCCAGAGGGCCCCCCCTCTGCTGGGGCTGTAGATTATAAGGAGGGGCCTGGTTACGGTTTGAGTAATTGGTGTTTGCAAGCGAGTGTGGATGAGGGGGGAGGTAGCCTTGGTGGTCCGGCGCCATGGGCCCCCTTTGAGGCCAGGGGGCATCTTTAGGCATGGCGCTGCTCGCGTACTGTATATTATACTGAGGGGGCGGGGCTCCCATGCTCATACCCGGGTATCTGCTTGAGCTAACAGGGGGCTTAGAAGAAGACAACAAGTCTGAGGAAGATGAAGAGGAGCCAGGGTAGACCAAGAGATTCTGGTCATTGAGTAACTGACTGGCCGACTTGCTTCTAACAATGTTCTGGCCTTGGGCTCCGGGCCCCTGGCCGGTCCCAGTCATCCTAGCTACCACTGCGGCATCATCATCCCCATCGAAGGAGTACAGCTTCAAGTTGCCCGTTTCCATATTGCTGATGCTGTGAGATTTCATCACCTGGGTGGGAGGACATCTTTTTTCTGGGGACAGCTCCTCCGTGCTGCGGGACAGAGACATGTCGCTGCTGGCGGCTACGCCCGTCGATGCAGACGTCTCCATCCCTCTGCTTCTGTTCACAAGACTATTGATGCACTCCCCTCCCTGCTGATTCCCATTCTGCAAGTGATCCACGTTGTCGTAGCTCTGCTCAACCGAACCATTCTTCACTGTCAACTCGGCGCCGTGGTACGCTGGCAGCTTGGTCACGTTCATGTTGATCTGGTCCCAGTTGGTGTAGGCGTCTCCCATTCCGTTTTCGATGAAAGCCATTCTGTTTTCCATGGACAGGTCATAGTTTGGTGGGGTCTGCTGGGTTTTCAGGAGGGCCTGAAGGGACGGTTCGGAGCCGTTACCGTTATGGAGTAGAGGGGTGGTGTCTTTCGGTTGGTTCATGTTCTCGTCGTCTTGTCTGGAAATAATTGTTGCCAGAAGAGAAGCACAATCAGATTGTATGGAAGCAGCAGGAGGATAAAGCTTTGAATGGATTCTGCTTACCTAGTTTTGGGAAGGAAGGGCACCTTGGACTCCCTCTCAGGCGTGCAGAGGGAGTTGTCCTGACTGCTGTCGGTGGTCAAAGACACAGAGTCGGACATGCGCGATGGGGACGAACAGTTACTGTTGTTTTGGTTACTGTTGGCCACTGTGTCATCCAGTAAAGAATCAGCATCTTTCCCATCATCTTTTAATAAAGAAACATTATTTTATTTAAAAATAAAAGCCAAATTTCCTCTAAAAATCAGAAATGATACCAAATGAGTTTGGTTTTACCTTTTTTATCCTTACTTAGAGTAACTACTTTAGGCTGATTGATGGAAATCTCAATAAGAGGCGGCCTCATCTCTGCAATCTTCATCTCTTCTTCCTCTGATAACTCCTCCGTGTCCTAAAGAAGAAGAAAGGACTTCTTAAAAAAACAGTTTCTTTACTGCTTACATGCTGTACTTCTCTTTATTATTTTTTTTAAAAAGGGAAGAACTTAGTAATATGGTGACCACCTCTAGTGTGTCCTCATGGTTCATCATTGAAGTCTCTGTAGACTTGGCGGGGATGCTCTGCGAGCTGATGGGCTGTGAAGACTCTTTAGATTCGTCTGCAGGAGGATTTTGGGTATAGGTTGAAGATACTGGAGCTTCAATGTCTGATGCTACACCGTTGGGACGTGGGGCCTCAATCACCTTTAAAACAACAAGTTGTCTGTTACAAATTTATTGTTTTCATTTGCATATGTGCAAAATATAACATGGCTTGGAATGATATTCACAGGTCTTTCAAATATCCACATTTAGTCATGTTGGAACCCCAAAACATGCATTTTATTGGGAACTTAATGTGATCAACCAACAGAGTGGAGCAGAATTATGAAGAAAAAAAAATCTCTTTCTTTAATAATCTAAAAGTTTGACCTGCTTTTGTATTGGGTTGGATGTGGATCTGAACTTTGACTAGGCCAATAATACTAGAATATGCTTTAATTTAACTATTTAAGAGCCAGATTAGCTCAACAAATCTTTCTATCACCTCTTGCTGCTAAAGAATAGCCTCCCCGGAGCATGATGCTGACACCACCATGTTCCAAGATGGGGAGGGAGTGTTTAAAGTGGTAGTTTACATTAAACATAGTTATTTATATCGAGAGTTAAAGGTTTATTACTGGTCTCATCTGAGCAGGGAGCCTCATCAACTAGGGATGTCAAACCCATCAGTTCTGCTGTCATTTCTTATCATTTAATTATTTTGTCATGTTTATTAAAGGTAAAACCACAATGCAGCTGTTTGGAACATGCATGATCAGTATGATTAAACAAATGGACTCCAGTATGGAAAGATGTAAACACATTAAAAATGATTAATTCTTAAAAGAATAAATTGGTTTGTTCCACTGCCGTAGCAATCAATAAAACTGCTCAAAGCATTTCATCTATTAGGCCTGATCTGTGCTTGTTTAAGTACATAATTAAAGTATCTGTTTGCACAAGCAGATTAAAAAACATGGACATGATATGGGCAGAAAAATCCTGAATATTCAGCCCATGGGAGTCTAGTTGTACACATTTGTTCTAAATGCCTCCCCCTGAGAGTCTTGTGGCAAATTGTAGCTTTGGAGTCTGATTTGTGTATCATAGAACTCGGTAGGTTTTGTTTTTGTTTAAAAGGGTGACCCTGCTTCAAATCCCCACAGCCTTTGGGTGATTTAATTAAGTAGATCAGGATAAAGAAGGATAAAAGCAAACTTTCCTTTTCAGATTATTTCAAAATAAATTGAAAAACAGGAATCCGAACCCATTTAAACAACCACAAACTACCTTCTGTTGGTCTGCCATGTAAAAAAAAAAAAAAAAAATGATGATGTAAAATCCTCTAAAATGAAAGCGACTGACTTATTTCCATTCACTTTTACCAAAGCTGACCTTAACTCCCACATCTTGCACTCCGATGTGGTTCCTCTCAACCGGTTTGGACTCTTTCCCAGACTCGTCGCTGGTTTCATCCTCCCTCAGCCTGTGAGCCACGGACTGGGCTGTTTTTACCATGTTCTTCAGCTCGTCTGGGTAAGGGGTGGGGTATCGTTTCAGGTTTCCCTCCTGGAGGAATGCAAACACACATCTTTATATTCAATTTCTTAGCTTAATATGACTTTGCTGTTCCTTTGTGATACAATAAGGCCACATATCGACTGTTAATTCTCTAAATCTCTTCCCCTCCAGACTGGGGTTGTTGGTCTGGATGCAGGAAGTCAATCAGAGGACAGTTAAACAATGAAAGCTGATACAGCTGACAGGAGTAGTATATTTCAGCAACAATCAACTTAAATGGCAGGACAGCATCTTTCAACAAAGCTGCAATACTCTGTGGGAAACCAAATGGCTTCTGCTTCTCATTTGTCGATTTCTGTTAAACAGTTCCCTGCTTAGCAACAGATAGAAGTTATTATTAAATGATGGTACTGAAACAGCAATATTTAAAGCAAAAATGTACATGTTCTACTCATGCTAAGGGGTGCCTCGACTGGAGAGTTTAAATGTACATCTTTGACATAGGCCTTGGTTTGAACAGAAACACAACGCCTGAAAGGTTTTGGTTCCTGATTCTTTCATTGACAGATGGAGAAAGTCTGTGAAAGTCCCTGGACCTGAGGAGGGACATTCCAGATTAGGTTCATCCGGGCAGCAGCTACGCTTCCCTCCACCAAATTGATTCCCAGTATCTAATGCATTTCGCTCTTAATGAATGAAACAAATGTGCGTCACTAACCCTCGGGGGTGCCTCTCTCTCATCCTTGTCCTCGTCGCACTCAAACGCCACCTGAGCTCGCTGCTTGCGTTGCTCCTCCCACAGGGCCGGGTTGAAGCTCTCAGAGTCAGAGTTGGGGATGTCTGGAATGTAACATAGGTCACAAAGCCGATTATTCGTTTTCTTTTGGGGGTTTTTTTTCTTACTTTAATTCAGATTCAAGTGTTTATTTTGGCCACCAGATGGCACTACAACAGCATCTGACCAACTGATTAGAACTAACAGCATAGATTTTTTTTTATACATGTTATATTTCCTTCTAATAAGAATTCCCCTAAATGAAGTTTATTTATAAAAATAGTTTTTCTTAAAATAAAAAAATGCTGCATGCAGTCTTAAAATGTGACTTATTAAATACAACATGGTCACTATAATTAACGGTGCCAGAGCCAGTGGTCACCATCAAATCATCCTAAATGGTGTTTTGCTGCTGCAGCTTCTGGTCAGAAATAAAAGCTGCATCTTCATGTCCCTAATAATGTGACCTCTGAGCATGCAGACAGACGCAACCAGGTCTTTCACAGCTGCATCAAAAAACTTGAAGGAAAATCAGCCTGTGTGGTTTCCTGCGTCAAAACAACGCTCACCACAGTTTAGCAACACATGTAGATGAATTTTTCACAGAGGTGATCTAATTTGATTTCCTTCAGCTAAGATAGAGCTTCATCAAAGACTGAAGTTGCCTTCATCACAATGTGGATAATCTGAGTCATTGTTTGCGTGTTCTCCTTATCATAACAAGTTGTAAACCACCATCATTGCTCTGGATTGGTCACTAATAATAGACCAGCAGCAAACCAAAAAGGCCGAGCTGTATTATGCGCAAACAAACGCTATACAGGAAATAGAGAACAGAAAGCTTTGACCTCTGACTATCGGAGGAGCTTTAGTGAGTAGATTCTCAACCTCTAATTACTCAAAAGCTGAGATGCAACGGGGTCAGCGCTGGCTATCTGCTGTGATGGAAACCAGAAGCAAAGCAACAGATGGACAACTGCTCGGGTTTCCCCTGCAGCCTCATGTAACAAACTCTTATTAAACATGCAGTCAGGGATCTTTGTAGGTCACCCAGAAGTTTGTTAAAAACAAACATGGTAGCTTTAGTCTGGACGTGCAATGTGTAACATATTCAACCGAATAGTCTAGGTATGCACTTTTTTTTACAAGTTGTAATATACATTATGTTGTTTTACTCACAGTCCTCTGTCCTGGTTTGCTGGGGAAACATATAGTTGGTCAGCACAGTTTTGTGAGTCTCTGGATCCTCCTCTTTTTGGAGAGGGATCAGGGGCTTTGACTGTGGGAGACAGAAAGACGGTCATAAATCTGAGATAAGCAACAACTGACCAAACACTTATCAAATTAAGAAAAAAATAGTGAAATGAGGTCCTTTCATTGGCAGCATGCAGAATATGGATGAGGTGATAAAACAAGCATTTCGTCAGTTAATGAAGCCAGAACAGAAAAATGAGCCATAGCAAATTCAATGATTATTTACTTACTTTCATTAACTCGCATAAAGCATTGGTAATAATTTTTCTTCTGACGTTTATGTAAAACGTTTGTTTTGCTTTTTCTAAGATTTAGACCAACTTTATTGTCATTTAGATTAGATGAGCTTTATTGATCTCACAGCGGAGAAATTCACTAAAATTCACTTTTGTATACACAGCTTGACAATGAAGTTTGTCTAAGTTTAAAACAAAATTCAGGAAAATTATTATTTTTTTTTTTTAATACCACACCCAATTTTGAGGATTTGAATATCTTTATCAACTGCATGCTTATTTTAGGTTCCTTTCTTTAAAACCCCAGAGGTGCACCTCCTTCTCCTAGATCATCTGACCTGTTGCTCGACACAAAAGCGACTGGACCTTTCCTAGCAGACGGTCCTAAAATCTAGAATAATCTGCTGCTGTATCTGAGGCAGCCATCCTTTTGGATTTTCATATCTTTTTAAAATATATTTTTATAGTATTGGTTTAATGTTGACCTAATGTTGATTTTAATGTTGATCCCATGGTTTATTTTTTTCTATTTACATCCATCTATTCCCATCAAATTCAATTAGAATGTTTAGATTTGACTGTTTTTTTTAATCTATGATGTGCTTTAATCTTTACTTTTTTTTCCTATCAGAACATGATAGTTGTAATTGTCAGTATATTTACTTCAAGTTATTTTATTGTACCAAATGCATTTAGTTCAGATAACACAGACTTTTTCCAACATACCAAAATCTAAAACTTTGAGGTAGAAATACACAGAAAAAAAAACACTGGAGTTGATTTTATAACCTAACAAGCCCTAAATGTCACTTTCATCAAATACTAGTTTGCTCTATTTCATCCAATAATAGAGCAAACTTTTAAAGCTACAGTGTGTAATTTTCAGCGACATCTAACGACCAGACTGCAGACCGCAGCAACATGAACATCTCCCCCCCAACAGTACGGCGAGCGTTACGGGACAAAATGTCTTCCACGACGTCCGCATCACCTACCTTCTCAAGTGATGAGGTTTGTTTACATACACTATATTGCCAAAAGTATTTGCTCACCTGCCTTGACTCACATATGAGCTTAAGTGACATCCCGTTCCTAATCCATAGGGTTCAATATGACGTCGGTCCACCCTTTGCAGCTAGAACAGCTTCAACTCTTCTGGGAAGGCTGTCCACAAGGTTTAGGAGTGTGTTTATGGGAATTTTTGACCATTCTTCCAGAAGCGCATTTGTGAGGTCGCACACTGATGTTGGACGAGAAGGCCTGGCTCTCAGTCTCCGCTCTAATTCATCCCAAAGGTGTTCTATCGGGTTGAGGTCAGGACTCTGTGCAGGCCAGTCAAGTTCATCCACACCAGACTCTGTCATCCATGTCTTTATGGACCTTGCTTTGTGCACTGGTGCACAGTCATGTTGGAAGAGGAAGGGGCCAGCTCCAAACTGTTCCCACAAAGTTGGGAGCATGGAATTGTCCAAAATGTCTTGGTATGCTGAAGCATTCAGAGTTCCTTTCACTGGAACTAAGGGGCCAAGCCCAGCTCCTGAAAAACAACCCCACACCATAATCCCCCCTCCACCAAACTTTACACTTGGCACAATGCAGTCAGACAAGTACCGTTCTCCTGGCAACCGCCAAACCCAGACCCGTCCATCAGATTGCCAGATGGAGAAGCGCGATTCGTCACTCCAGAGAACGCGTCTCCACTACTCTAGAGTCCAGTGGCGGCGTGCTTTACACCACCGCATCCGACGCTTTGCATTGCACTTGGTGATGTATGGCTTGGATGCAGCTGCTCGACCATGGAAACCCATTCCATGAAGCTCTCTGCGCACTGTTCTTGAGCTAATCTGAAGGCCACATGAAGTTTGGAGGTCTGTAGTGATTGACTCTGCAGAAAGTTGGCGACCTCTTCGCACTATGCGCGTCAGCATCCGCTGACCCCGCTCCGTCAGTTTACGTGGCCTACCACTTCGTGGCTGAGTTGCTGTCGTTCCCAAACACTTCCATTTTCTTATAATACAGCTGACAGTTGACTGTGGAATATTTAGGAGCGAGGAAATTTAACGACTGGATTTGTTGCACAGGTGGCATCCTATCACAGTTCCACGCTGGAATTCACTGAGCTCCTGAGAGCGACCCATTCTTTCACAAATGTTTGTAAAAACAGTCTGCATGCCTAGGTGCTTGAATTTATACACCTGTGGCCATGGAAGTGATTGGAACACCTGATTCCAATAATTTGGATGGGTGAGCAAATACTTTTGGCAATATAGTGTAGATTATTTTACAGATAGTATTTCATTAGTCTGTGTAGGGTAAAGATTTTATGTAGACTTAAGATAATAAATATACCCGTTATTTTGGAGCGTAATGGGCGATCTCGCAATGCTAGTTTGTTGGCTCTGCGCTGCCGTAGCGCAAAGATGTCTGCCTCCATGGCTGCGAGACCCGCTCCTATGTAATTATAAATAACGAATTCTAAGGCAACGCAAATATTAAGGTTAAGAGGCTGAGCTCGTAGATGATGATAAATAACATAGTTATGTATAATATATTACATTTCTGACTGTATATCCCTGTAATTATTACACACTGTAGCTTTAAATCATTAAAATAAAGAAACAACTAATTAGACGTGTTCTCAACTATTGCAGCAAATTAAACAGGTGCTGCAAAGCATAACGTCCTCATATGTTTAGGTTTTGCTTGGCAGTGAACTAATTCAGATTAAGATCATCAATGGACCAACGTTTTAATGAATGTGCTGCAACCAGGGAAGTTGTACTTTCCTCCTCATGTCAGCTTGTCTTAGCAACAGTATATGCCATTAACCCTTCCATTTAGGACACCAGCAGCAGTAAATGCTGATCAATCATGTGAGGTAAATATTCACCATGTTAGAACCAATCCGATAAATGTGTTTCCATCTCTACTTTAGAGAAATTATGTTATTTTAAATGATATCTGATGGTCAAAACTGACCTTTGTACTCCAGACTGATTTAAATTTGTTTTGAGCCAAAGAGGAGCAGAAAGTTAAAATATATTTCCCTCACTCTGCAGCAGGTCTGTAAACATGTTAGGCTTTAATCACCAAGGCAACTGTTTGCTGAACTTGTTTGGCTGCTGTTTAATCTGTGCGAGTTTAAATTTCCTCACCTCTGATGTGTTTTGACAAGGAAATTCTTAAGAACTTCTGGGGGCCTTTTCCTGACAACTTTCTCTCTGATGCTGCTGCTTTAAATGTTTCATCGCCGTATAGTTATTAGGACCTGTAATTCTAACAGCTGATTCTGTGGCAAGAAAAAAAAAAAAGCTTTTGTGCAGCTTTTTGAAAATGTCTGCAGGCTCCCAGGGAAGATTTGTCAAGGTAGTTTAACAGAGCCTTAGAATACCCAGCCCCAGAGATGAATTGCCATGAATAATTTATTCAAGGATCTTGTGGGAGGCAGACTGTAATGTGTAAATATTTATAAGCCAGACCAACCCAACACAAATTCAGTAGTGTACTGCAGAGTCTTCTAACATTGGCATGTCTCTGCAGACAAAAGGATTGGCTGTTTTATATGAAAAGACCCAGGCATTTAAAAACATGAAGGACTCCAAGCTGCTTTATAATGTGTGTAGAGTTGCATTTTATCAGGACCAAGTGGGGAGAAGCCTTCTATCTTTATCTTATTTGCCTCTAGCTGACTGCTGTAGTCTTATCTCAGAAACCGGTCCAGTGTCGTTCAGATAAACACAGCAAACACTGAGGCTTCAGTAGAGATTTCCTTCTCCGTGTTCGTTAAACATTCAGGATAAGGATCTCATTCTCTAACATCCATTAGCATCCTGCTACACTCGACAGACGGGAGTTTTGGGTGTCACTTGCGGCTGACCTGCACTGCCATCTGACATGTTTGGATCAAATGTCCAGGAAGTGGTTTCATGCAATTCAAATGTTTACCTTTGAGACACTTTGTTTTATAGCCAGGGTTATTTTTATTTCACTTCTTGTCACAGGAAGCATCTTACAATTTAGATTTCTCTTCAGATAAACTTTAGCATTCATCCTACCTGGTTTTCAGAGAGCCACATGGCAGTCATCTCACTGAGTTTGGTGAAACTGTAGGGAAGATTCTTTAACCTGTAGTAGAAAATAAAAACAAAAAGCTCATCTCAGTCCAGAAATCTTTTTACCTGAAGGCCAAGTGTTTTCTGCAAGATTTCATGTTAGACAAAGGTCATAAGACTCCAGATGAAGAATGATCCACCTTTCGACACTTAAACTCTTATAAATCAACAAGGTCAGTAAAGACTCACTTGTTGTTGCTCAGATTGATGACTTTGAGCCTCTGCATGTCGCCCATCTCCTCAGGCAAGGACTCCAGCTTGTTGGAATGTAGAAACAGCACAGTTGCTGACTTCCAGTTGCCCAACTACAAAGTAGAGAAACCAGAGACCCTGTGAGCAATGAGCCGCCAAACCTGGCTGACAGATATTCATGAACCGATAGACATGCTCACCTCAGGGGGAAGCTGGGAGAGAAAGTTGTGATCAGCAGCAAAAGTGCGAATGCTGACGCACTGGCCGATGGAGGAGGGCAGGGCTTCGATCTCGTTGAAACTGCAGTCCAGCTCGTCGATACACGCCAGGCTAAAAGTGCGACACCAGAGGATATTTCACCAAGGAGCTTTTACAGCACATGTGTAAATCAAATAAATATGCAGCTCATTGCAAAAGTGACAGAACTCTTCATCTTTTGATCACTTTATTTCTACTCCACAACCACAAGCGGAATGTAGCTTATTAGGGCTGCATGTGATTCAACAGATGCACTAAAGGTCAAAGTATAATGGACATAAATATAATTCTTAAAGGTGTTAAATTAATTTGTATTTTCTCTTTTTTCCAGATAATTTTGTTTAGTAATTTGTACTTCTGTATCTAAATCAGTCTCAGGTGTTGCTTTAAGGTCACAGAGGTTTTCTTAAGAACATTAGTGAGCAAACAGCATCACGAGGACCCAGTAACACAACAGCTGGATCAGAGATAACGTTGTATAGAAGTTAACAGGGAAAGGTTATAAAACAATGTTCAGCCCACAGAGCTCCGGCCCTCATCTCCGCTATCGTCTCTTGAGGACCGTCTGATATTAACAGCTCATGAAGGAGAATCTGGAAATGGAACAATTAGTCATGCATGCTACACATGTGGCCTGTATGGAAAATTAGCTAAAAGGAAGTAACTGTTAAAGATGTAAAAATCCTCCAATAGGCACACAGGAAAAAAACATTCGTATGAAATAAGGTCCTCATGTAGGAAGAATTGGAATCAGAATTATTTGAATTGTTATTGCACAAAAAAGCACAAGGAAATACCCAATTAGAAACTCTTGAGGCCAGTGCAAATAATAATAAAACACAACGACTAGGATATTAAGGAAAAATAAAGAAATAAAGACATTTTATGAATTTATAAAATAAATAATAACATTAAGACCAAAGTGTAGCTTTTCGGCCCCAAGTAACAGAAACCTACCACCTTCAGCTGAAATGTGTTATTCCTACAGTCAAATATGGGGTAAGCAGCCCTATGCTTTTGGGAAAGTGTTCTTCATCAGAGATAAGGAAGCTGGTCTTAGCTGATATGGCTGCATACATCGATACATATTCATGTGTTAGAATGGCCTAGTCAAAGCCTGAATCTGTTGCAAGTGTAAAACAGTCATTATAAGCTCCCTTCATCTTATCTGACCTGAGATATTTGGCAAAGACGAATCTGGCAAAAAAAAAATCAGTCTCTAGATGACCTACTGTAGTTTAAGCAAAGGATTAACAGAGATGAAAGAATTTATCAAGATTAATAGATTATTGACATAACTGCCAATTTGTTATTCCAAGATTTATCTGGAGAATGCACTTTCACAACTACATGAGTTTTCAAATTATGTAAAATAAATAAACAAAATCTCTCCCATTAAGAACCATTTTCTACCTAATCACTAACCGAAAAAGTAGTTGACCAAGTAAATTGCAAAATAATCTTTATAGGGCTAATTTATTGTATTGCAATTTTGTGAGCAATGAAATTATTTTCCAACATGCAGAATGTTAATTTACTAAGTTTTGTTTTTTGGATTAATAGAAGAAATAGAGGATGGACCGACCGATAACTAAAATAATTGATATCTGCAACCCCACTTCAAAGTATTGACTCAGAGGGGTCGAATATAAGAGATGACAGATTTTGCAAGGTAGCTGTATATAAATATAACATTTCCCATTTCCTTCAATCATAGGTTAAATTACTAAAGAAAATTAAACAAGCGGTGCTTGAAATAGGTTTTCAACAGATAACAGATCTTTGGCCAAAAAAATTACAAGGCATAGGGAGGGCATCAAATAAAACAAAGTATAGAAAAAAAAAAAAAAAGGCTTCTAGGAGATTAAGCTAAACCATAGGATTTGTCCCGTAATCTGTGTCAAAGCACACAAGGAGCTACATTCTGACATATGGGATCATTGACAGTGTTTGGAAACAGTAAAATGGGGGGGAGGACCACAGCTGTATTTGGCATTTAATGTAAATGTAGTTCTTTCATAGATATGGGATTGGAGTGAGAAAAACAAACAAAAAAGATTACATCTTAATTTTAATCTCTGTGTGAGACCACAGTGATTGGAGTAGATAGAGGGGCAGCTGTCACCTGTTACATGTATCTGTCTGCTGGGAACAAGATCTGCATCACAGTAGCTGAGGATGGAGAAGCAACGGGTCTGTGGAGCTCATACCATCTCCTCCTCTGAACTGTCTGCCGCTCCCAGAGACCCACAATGTTTGCTTTAAGGGATTTAGTCCACAAAGCAAGAACAGTTACAGAGGAAACCAAAGAGAATCCCTATGTCCTATGGGAATGTCGGACTTATGCATACACTTGATCTAATGAGTAACCCGATGACGGAAAAAGCACAGTAATCCCCTTGCAATGGTGGTTTATTCCACTGATCATCATAAAGCTAGCACTGTAATGCTCACCCTCCAATGGAGTCTGGCAAATACATCAGCTGGTTTTCATCCACCTTCAGCGCCGTCAGCTTCTTGAAGGAGCCTTCAAACAGAAGGAAAAAAAACAAGAGCGATTGGATGAGAAAGAAAATAACAATCCAGGGTGGTTATTGATTATCACTTGCTGTTGAACCACAAAGTGAAGGCTCAATTAGAGCAGCTAATTACATTCACTAATACCGACATCAATACAGTGTTATGTTTAGGAGAACTCAGCTCCTACGAGTTTATGAGCCCTGTCCTAACTTGTGTTATCCCGGGACAAAAAAAGCCAACTGTTATTAGTTTCTTTTCAATCAAAAGAATATATTTTTTTCCAGTTGAATTGAGATAATATAGTTGAAGGAGTTGGATTCATGATCCAATATATTTCAGAAATCTTTAAGTTAGAGATACGCCTGCTGCTCTATATCTTGATCCATTACATGAGCCATCCATGCCTTTATGAGTAGGCCAGCCCTGTGACCTTCCAACTTAACAAAAAAAGTGACTTTTTTCCCTTCCTTACAGGATGTCTAGCACAGAGGGGCACAGTTTGATATCCAGGATATCAGAGACCGGTTTATATGTTTGGTTTACCATTTCTAATAAAAATATTAAACAGTATATACATTAGATCCGCAGTTCTTGCACAGATTCTGACTTTTCAAGGCTGTGGTCTTAAACGTTTGATCAAAAAAAAAAAAAAAAGCCTTTTTAAGGGTATAGAGGATGATGTATTATTTCCAGGTGACTCATCTAAATAGGTGGCCCTACTCATTATCAATTATGGTGATACGTGCTCATCCCCAGTTACCCATATTTTTCTGCGCATACGCACTTTCAAGAAATAAAAAAGTGAAACCTTCCAGAAAAAGTTTATAGGAAGTGTATGAGGAAAAAAAGAAAGGCCTGAGAAGAGGTAGATATATCCCAGAATGCTTTGTGTGGAGAGCTCTTTTCGCCAAGCATTATGGGATTTGCTGTCAAAGCAGACCAATTACAAAGACGGGGTGCAGGCACCGTGCAGTGGAAGAGGAGAGCATCTGTCAGAAAGCATCTGTCCGAACAGTAAGTTAAAAGAGTTCTATATATATATATATATATATATATATATATATATATATATATATATATATATATATATATATATATATATATATATATATATCAGATATATATATATATATAAATCACTATACCTTTAAGTTAAAAGCTTCAGCCTGTTGATCAGACTCTCCACTTAAACCTTTTTAAAGATCCAACTGTGCAAATTACACATTTTCCAAACTGGTTTTAAGATTTTATTCAGGCGTTTAAATATAATTTCTTATACAGCAAATAATAGTAATAGAAATAGAGCAGGTTGTAGAAAATCTTAATTCATAACGTTGCAAATAAAGAGGTTTGTGGGGTTTATATGCAGTGAAACCACACAGGAGCTCTTGAACTGACCCAGATAAGAACTCAACAGTTGAGAAAAGACGCAAAGTGTTTTATAAAAGACTTTTTGTTTCGAATAAGGTGTAAATAAACCGTAATCCTCACCGATGGAGCCGGGCAGCTGCGTGAGGGCATTGTTTGAGAGCAGGAGGTCCTGCAGGTTCTCACAGCCAGAGATCTTTTCATCCACCATTTCCAAGTTGTTCTTTGACACATCCAGATACGCCAGCTGTTTTAGAGTCCCCAGCATCTGGACAGACGGGAGCCGACATGCATGAAATCAATAAACGATCACAAAGAAAGAAAACTATGTCATAGAAATTAAACATTATTTGAGCCGCAAAGCACATTGGAGGAGGTAACCAGATTCTTGCATGGATCTCATCCATTCATTTTTTTTAATAAAAAAACAAACATTTCACATATACTGAAAGATGAGCTGCCAGTCCTTGAGTTTTATATGCTCGACAAACTTCATTGCTAATAAAAGGCTAGTCTGTGATTACAGCTGATGCTTCTGAAATGCTGCCAGCAGAACTAATGCTCTGACCCACTTACAGCAAGCAGTGCATTTGGATAGAAACTAAGAACTGCAGAAAATGAACCCTGGGCATCTATACATTTGGGAAAATGGTTTATTTAAAAGGACATGCTACAGATTTTCAGACCACTGAAACCAGAAAATAGACAAATTATACTTTAAAGGAATACTTAAAACCTTACCCCAGGAAGAAAAGTGAGTTTGTTTCCATCCATCCAAAGCTCCTTGAGTCCAGATAGGTGCTCCAACACCTCAGGCTACGCATGTAAAAAACAAACATTAGAGATTTGAAATTGTTACATAAACTGCAAAATATCAGAGCTAACTATGCACCAAAATAGCAGAGAGAAGAAGAAACAACTAATTAAAGGAATAGTACACCCAAAACATGATTAGCCTTCATTTTCTACTCACCCCCATGGTGAACAACACCCTGGAGTACTTTTTTGATATCTCAAATGCATCTGGAGATCTGGGAGGCTTCTTGCTGTCTGCTGACATTCAAATAATGGAGGTCTGTGGTGCCCGAGACAGAAAGGTCCATAAAAGTCCACAAAAAATGTGTCAATATTCCTCCATACTGCTCGTCCAATGTATTCCAAGTGTCCTGAGTGGGTAGCATCTAGGGGTGGGTATTGCCAAAGAAGTCACAATTCGATTCGAATCACGATTCACAGGCCACGATGCGATTCTATCACGATGCATCACAATACTTGAATTATTGCGATGCATTGCCATGATTGACTCTGCACAGTATCCCGCGGCCGGAAATGTTTGTGACACAAGGCAGCGTGCATCAACACATTTGCAGCGACATCTACTGGACTGGAAGTTGTATTAAACTTGTTTTTGGCTGATGTTCGGCAACCATTCATGCAATTTTATTTATTAATTTTTTTAAATTAATAATCGATACTTGGCGTCAAGAATCGATGCAGTAGATCACGAAAATTAGAATCACGATGCATCATCATGACGATTATTTTGCACACCCCTAGTAGCATCCAGAATTTACTCGAAACGAAGTTATTTAGAATGTTTTTAGAGCATAAACAGTAGTGTATAGGATTTCCTGAAAGTGCGCACATGCGCGATCACGACGCTACGGAAGCCGGCAGACCAAACCAGATGAAAGTGCGCATTCAGCGTCTGCTCTGCCGATAATGCAAGCGTAGAAGAAGAAATGTGCTGTTTACCTGTGCAAAGAAAGAAACAACGAAAGAAAAATGTCTTAGGACTTCAGTGTTGAGGAAGAGCATGAGTTCTTTGCCGAGCTGAATGCGCTGGTTTGGTCTGCCGGCTTCCGTAGCGTCGTGATCGCGCATGTGCGCGCTTTCAGGAAATCCTATACACTACTGTTTATGCTCTAAAAACATTCTAAATGACTTCGTTTCAAGTAAATTCTGGATGCTACCCACTCAGGACACTTGGAATACATTGGACGAGCAGTATGGAGGAATATTGAAACGTTTTTTGTGGACTTTTATGGACCTTTCTGTCTCGGTCACCATAGACCTCCATTATTTGAATGTCAGCAGACAGCAAGAAGCCTCCCAGATCTCCAGATGCATTTGAGATATCAAAAAAGTACTCCAGAGTGTTGTTCAGCATGGGGGTGAGTAGAAAATGAAGGCTAATCATGTTTTGGGTGTACTATTCCTTTAAGGAAGGGGGAGATCAGGTCACCTCTTGAGGTAGAGAGCTCTGGGCATTGACAGACTGACAGCTACTTACCACTTCAGTGAACTCATTACTCCCCAGGTCCAACCTCTCCAGCTGTGTGAGCTTCTGCATGCTCCTATTGACACACAAGATGACGTACACTATAAATCGAGCCACAAAAGCGTCTAAAATTCCACACAAGATTCATTTTAGACACGCAATGACGACTCCAAGTCCATGTGTTGGTACTAAATCAAAAGCAAAAGCTGTGACTGCAAGTGATGCAGAACATTTGCTTACGACAGCAAGCCAAAGAATAATAACAGTTAAAAAAAAAGAACAACAAAAAGCACCAGGGGATTTCCATCCATTTCTACAAGTTATATTTTAGATTTTTTGGGGAATTTTGTCCTTTTCTTCTGTCGTTGACTAATTGCATGTGGAAATATTTAAAGCTTTTGTTCAGATGAGACGGAGTGACATTTTAAATTAAGGAAAATGTGACTATGCTTGGCCTAAGCCTTGCTCCAGAATGTTCTCAACACGTTCAGGTCACAGGCTACCATTCCCCTATACTGGGATAAAAACCCGGACTGATAAACCATGGAATACACGGAACACTGCTTGGACATGATACGACTAAAAGACATCTACAAACAGGAAATGATAGATTCTTAAATACGTTTAAACGTGTGACTTTCAATTGCCTATTAAAAGTGAATTGAAATATAATCCTTAAAAATATTAAGAAAAATATACTTCCATGCCTGTTAAATGCCTATACATCTTTGATGAACACTTTCCAATGTCAAATGGTGAAACAAAGACTATATGACCTGGAAAAATGAAAACGTCTCCAAAAGTTACAATACTAAGAGGAATAGTTTGAGATTTCTGCACATCAACAATGCTGTCCTGCAATTAAATTCAGCATTTCCCACAAAGCACAATAAAATCACTATAATCACTATAGTCCATAAAACAAAAACGTAGAAAAATGCATGCAATGTCTCTATTGGCTTGTATTTCTAACCGCATCGCTGAGTAAAACTACAAGCTCCAATATTTTTTCAATTGACCAACAATTCAAACATTTTAACTTTCATTGTTTTGTATCTACCTTATATGGAGATGATTTGAGGAAACAGGCATGTCTGTGGTGGACGTTTAAATCACAAACTGCTTTCCATAAACTGTTGTAAGGAGCAACGTCTCCATGATTTACTAAACCTGATCAGGGGTCACAATGTGTCATATTTTATGGTAACCGAGTGGCCTGTACAGGGATCACATTAATAATCGATCAAGATGGGTGCAAGGAAACATTAAATGCTTTTTATGATCATTTGTAATTTATGGAAATATAGATTCATAGATCTAAAAAAAAATGTTTTAAGTTTACATCGATTAAATTACCTCTTTGGATTAAATGAATTAAATCTTTTTATTCTTCAGAGCAGAAGCACCCTGATATATGTACATATTTCACTTTTGCCTAAAGGAAGAAGTTTTTTACCTTTACCTGTGTGGGGAAAAACAAACACAAAGATGTGTTTGTTCAGACCATTCTGAAGCAGCCATGTTCTGAGAGCAGTTATTGCTCTCAATAATTAAGCTTCGGGATCAGCTGCGGCTGTTACAGAATGACAGAGCGAGACATGCACGCGCTGCCGGCTCAGAACAAGCATTCAGACAGATGCTGTACGGACATAGCATCAGCATCAACCACCCCTTTGAGTCGAGATAAAAGTTGGGTGGAAAAATTTCACGACTGGCATTTTTACATGATGCATTTTTATCTCCAAATGACCCTTTATTTCACAACACTGGATATTTCGTTTCACAACACAAATGGAAATATATCTACTGAAAGCTAAGCCAATAAAATCAAAGAGCAATGTTTGGGAACAGATTTGATCAGGTTTCCAGGAGGTGGAATGAGCGGCATTAGTTTGAACTTGACTGATATTCAGGGTAGGATGGAAAGTTTGAAAGCCCCCCCCCCCATGGGATATGTCTTCCTTTCTTAAAGCAGCGATATCAGACACACTGCACAAATTACAAATATATCTTTCAACTTTTTAGCTCTGATGTAGAATGAAAGTATCAGCCTGCTTTCACATTTCTAACTGGAAACAACATCCAGCTAGAAATGGGGCAAGATCAAATTGTGCTGGCTCAGTGGGATTGCTGGTGGTAAGAAATCTCTACCACCTCATGTCCCAACGCTGCGATGAACCCTCTTTAAAATGCAGCTAAATGTTTAGTTCATGCATATAATCTGTGTGCGCTGGATAAAGGAGGAGAAAAGATGCTAAACTTTCTATATGAAAACCCTGAAAAGACCTCCGCTGCACCCTTTTGTGTGTGCACACATTGTTTACATCTGCGAGATGCTTGAGTGTTGCTCTGGCAACGTTCTTGATCATTAGTCCTTTTCTTTTTGTCAGGCCTCCAGCTCCTTACAGGTCTGTCCTGTGTCACATAAACACAGCGAGAAAAGAAGATCTGCAGCTGAGCTGCGGCACCGACTGTGCAACACTGTGAGCGCTGGCTGGCCTGTCAGTCACCGGCAACAGTGAGCATGAGAACAAAAGGAAACTGTGCCAGAGGAAGGAAGAACTTAAAGGAAAGTAGGGAAATACGGCTTCGGTGAGGAAATGGGAGAGGCATGAAATGATGCGGTAAGTGAAGCATGAAAGAGAAATGGAGAGAAAATAGTAAAACGGAAAGTAACGTTTGTGAAAAGCACTGACAGCCTTCTGTAATATTTGTGAGACGTTCAGTTCCCCCCCGCTGAAAATGGTGAAATAATCCTTGCCCCGGTGAGTTAGCTGGGGATTATAAAACCTGTTACAGCAAGTGGCGAGTAGAGGGGGCCTTTTATGTAAGAGTGGAATCCAATACGGGCAGAGGTGTGGAAATAAAAAAAACAAAACAGGATGAAGTACACCAGAGACATGCTGGGTGGTTTCTAAGGGGAAAGCAACAACAGAGACGCAGGGATGATATTTATGGCCAACGGATGAAACGGTTTGGACAAGGTAAAAGTGTGTCAGGTGAAAACCTACTTTGGCAGAGATTTTAACTGGTTCTCCCTCAACTCCAGTATCTGCAGCTTCGTCAACCTTAGAAGAGAATTAGAGAATTAGTCATATTTTGTCCAAATATAAAACATTTTTGTCTTTGTTTTAAGAAAGTGGCGCAGCATTTAAAAAAACAAAAACAAACACCAGAAACCAGAAATGACTCAAGTTCATCTGAACTTACCATGATGAAAGGATGACATGGCTGGTCCCATTTCATAATCTATTTATTTTAACATAATGCCCACATTTCACAGTAGACGGTATTATGGCAGTGTTTTCCTCTTAGGGGTTGATCTAATTCAGACCACTGCAGATTTTCAAGTGTTTTCCAGTATAGATATTTAATGATCACTTTTCAAAAACCACAGCAAATACTTTGTAAGACCAATCTTAAAATCCACTTTATTTTAATAAACAAACTGTGTGTTTGTTAAAAACAAAATTACAGTTTTTGAGACGAACTGTAAGCTTGAGCAGCGACTGACGCTTTGTGGAAAGAAACGCATCGAGGAAGGTGCCGCTTTAATCTTCTTACTAACAAATTCAGTAATACTCAGCTGTAATGGCTGACTTCTTAAAGAGTAAATATGTATGTTGTGGCTCAAGTATGTTCCATTGCAATTACAGGTATTCTTTGCGTGCAGATGGTGTGGGACTCAATCCATAGGTTAAAAAAAGGCTAAAGGTAAAAAAAATAAATAAACAAAAAACATTTTGCTTTCAAATAATGTAGCTTGATTTTAACAAGCCCCTAACCGATAGATCCTCCTTTTTAGTCAATACTAAAAAACAGAGGTTTTTGACTACTTCCTGTGTTAAATCAGAGGCATAAAAAAGCTAGATTGACTTTAACCACCCTTTGTCAGACTAAACTTACACAAACCAACCAACTGTTCTATAACAGCATGTCTGAATTGGTCTTTATACTGAAAGAAAAATGCCAATAACCTATCAACACTGAAAATGTTACCAGTTTCTTGCCAAAAGCACTTTTTCAAACATTCATTTTAACATATTCTATGACAAGCACATGTAGTTCGACTCATACATTTGTGAACTTTTCTAAACATATAAAAATATATTGTTGGTTTTGGTCTCAGGCAGAAAGTGACCAAATATGGACAAGAGCGGAGAACGTGACTCAAAAGCTGTCAAGAATCCTGACTATTTTGGAGCATATTCATACGATAATTCAAAGTAGGACTGAAGCTTATAAGGAGCCAATCTAAGAAGGACAAAGCAACAACTGACTTAGTGAAACATTAGTAAACATAACTACTGTCTTCTAGCTGTAACATATTTATGAAAAGGGGATCTGGTTTCTGTTTGAGGGGATTATTAGTGTTTGTCTATATAGTTTATAGAAAATGTCATTTAAAATTAGACTGATGCTTTTGGGTTGATGCATTTTAGTAAAAAAATCCAAAATACAAGATGTATTTATATTACTTGAGTGAGAGAGGAGCTTCCTGATACAATTTTCCTTAGTTGCCTTATAATATAGATAATATAAATACTTCTAAGCAAATGTCTAAATCCTATACAAATTTCCATGAACAACTTTGACAGATTTGAAATGATTTGCAAAAACAAGAAAAAAAGAAGCTTTGAAAATTGCATTTTTAATAAAAAAAAAAAACTGGAGTATAATTTCAACTAAAAAAATAAAGGAATAAATAAAAAAGCCTTAAAAAAGAAGGCAGCCTGTAGTTGAGTTTGTGTGAATAAATCTCTCCAATATAAAATGAAAAACAAACTAACCGGCCGAAATTTGCAGGTAAAAACTCGAGGAAGGCATCATTCAGGTAGAGCTGCGTCAGACTCAGAAGCTGAGTGAAACCCTCTGGGAGCCTGATAAAAACAGAAGCGGAGAGAATCACAGAGAGCCTCTTAAAGGGACTTCAGTCTCATAAATATGAACCATAAAGTCTCAATTTATGTAAAGCAAAGTCTTTAGAAGTTTTATTTGATGAGGTACATGTAAGCTTACTTAGATATAGGATTTACACTGGCTTCCACAATAGCTAGCACTTTGCAATTCTTAATGTTTTCTGGAAACTCTTGGATACCTGAAACGAAATAATACAAAGAAAATCATCAGTAAGTTAGAAAACCACTTATCCAAAAAAAGCTATTTCACATCAGTGTTTTATTTCATTTGTTTTATAAACACACACAAAAGAATGATGTTTTAAAGAGCACTTGTTCACCACAGAAATAATTTGCTGCAAAATAAAACGAAATGAAAAAGTAAGTTCCCACCAAACTATGTTTAAGCTTACGAAAAAGAAAAAAATTATTATTCAAGTCTCAAGGTTTATTTCCTCTACTTAGTTTTGTGTCTACAGCACTTAGACTTAAGTGTTTGTGCAAAAGGATAAGCTGCTTTCAATGTCAACGGAACAGAAGAAGAAGAAAAAAAAAAAGACTCCATAAGTAGGTTTAATCTTGCTGTTGAAACTTTGATGTTTCTTCTATGAAAACATTGGGGTCTTCACAAGTAAATCTACACAGTGTCCTGCAAAAGTATTTATTGCTTTTAAATCTTATTTTCTATGTGGAGCTCCCCTTTATACTGATACTACTAAATGAAAAACGCCACTTATGTTGTGGAGGATAACACACAAAAGCCATCAGTTGTGATAGCTTCTCCACATCTATAGCTAAAAAAAACACCCTTAGTCAAGTTTGATATTTGAAGCAAACCATAACAGAGGATAGCATGCCTGCACCCTTTGGTCAAAATGCGCAACACTACTTCAATCTTTAATGTTTAATGTTCAGGCTTTATATATATATATATATAAAGCCTGAACATACATCATGCTCCTAGTTTAATGTTTGGCAGCATCAAGATGCAGGGATTCTTCTCCCCCCCCCCCCCCCCCCCCCCCCCCCCCGCCCCCCCACAAGGATGGAAGGATGGGTGGAGCTAAATATGGGATAAACCTAGAAAAAATAAGTCTGCTGCAGGCTGCAAAGAGGTACAGATGGGGGGAGGGGGGGTTCACCTTCCAGCAGGGTCATGACCCGTAACACATTTCCGGCTACAATCAAAATATTTATGCATACAGGTTAGCCAGTAAATTAGCCTGAAAGTTTTTCTTCATTGGTTGAGTGATTTTCCAAAGAATTGGCAAAAATGTAAACTCCAGATATGCAAAGCTTAAAGGGGCAGACTTCCAAATTACTAGAGGGTGTTGTGTTTGTTTAGGAGAACTAAAAAGCATTGTCACAGAGGGGCTGGACGCAAAATCACAAAACAATTTTGAGCTTTTTTCTGTGGTATAAATATTTTTGTAATGCACTATAATCAAAGCTTAAAATCAAAAATGCTGACAGCTTCACAACTTTATTAAAGTGCTCAGTTAGTAACAACAACCTTTGTTATGGAAATCTAAGAACCACTTTCAGGAAGAGAAGGCCGTTTGTTGTTTAATCGCAGTATGATTGAGAAACTATTTACTAGAGCATGCATGGACTTGTTTTGAGACACATAGCGTGACGCCATTTAGTAGAGAAAACTTGTTAAGGCATTTTACCTCAGAAAACTTTGGATGAACTCCAAACTGCAAAGTTATAATGAAACAGCTTTGCTTTTGGGGTGAATGCCAAACTGATTTACATTGGTTGCTGAGCCTGCTGAGGTTATAGCAACTTGATCCGAGACCAGGTTCGATTTGTCGTACCTGCTTCGTTAAAGAACTTCTGACCTCGGCCCGACTTCTAAGGAAAAGCAAAAGGTACAGAGAGAAAACCTGCTTACTGTTTTTGCTGACATCAAGCTCCCTGAGGTTAATGAGGTTTGCGATCGCTGACGGCAACACTGTTAGGTCATTGTCTGGCATGCTCAGTCGGTGGAGTAACTGGCAGTTAAACAGTTGCTGGAAGAAAAGGAAAGAAGAGCAGATAAAGCACTCAGGTTTACCTTTTACCACATCATACAAAACCTAGATGTTTAAAATAACGATAGAGGGAAGGGATTCGACACTTTTGGAATAGTTAAAACATTCTTACAGCTGATCCCTTTAGATATAAACCTGTGGGTCTATCAACAGCATAAACTCTTTATTTTATGCTTCCTGAATCAACTGGAAGTTGACATAGCCAGCTATGTTGCATAGATGAGAATTCACTATTTAGTTTGGGACTGCGGGTGAAAATTGGATTGCAACTTTAGAAAGGCAACAAATGCTGAAATTAAATCCAAATTAAAGGCAGGGCGGTGATACTCCTAGGAGGAGCTTACAATGTTAACTCGACAGGTAAATCCATTTTCATTTCCATTTCATTTTTTTTTTACAAAACATGTAAATCAACACCTAACCCACATCAAGCCTGCAGAGAAATAGAGAGGGAAAGCTTTAAAATGTCATACTTTAGGCAGTTCCTCGATCTGGTTGGCATCGAGGTAGAGCTCCTGCAGCGTCTTCTCAAAGCTAAAGATCTCCTTAGGAACAGTCTCCAGGCTGCAGTGGGAGTAGTCCAGAGATGTAACTACCTCCTCCTCGCCCCGCAAGCACCGGCATGGCACCAGGCGAACAAAGAAGCTCCGCTTGGACATCCTCAGGGACTGGAGAGGGGGGCAGAGAGAATGGAGAGAGTTCCTTCATAATTACAGATATTCAGAACAGGGATTCATTTGTAGTGCACTGACAGAATACACATCTTTAACCTGAACAATAAAAGTTCATGGAAAGACAGACAGTACACTCATATTTGAACTTTTGGTAGACAGCTAAAGAGACACAAGCAGAACACAAAATTGAAATCTGCGGGTCATTTGTTTTCAGCTCCATATCCATTAGTGTCCTGTTAGCTACAGCTCTGGGACTGTTTTCTTTGTTTACTCTTAGGTGGAATTAGTGCATAACTGGTTGATTTATGATAAACACACATTTCTTGGACATTTTCACGCAGCTTCTTCATGTTCTCAAAGATAATCTCTCCATGTTGAGCTTCTCATTTCAACACTAGAGGAGCAAGCAGTCTAAAACCAACACAATGGGAGTTAAAATATTTCAATTTTAAGAGTTTCTTTATTAAATTGTGAAGAACATCATGCTGTGGGAAAAACGATCAGAGCTGCAACAGAAGCGCTCCAGATTAAGCCATATTCTTGGGTCGGAATAGTACAACCTAGATAAACAACAATATTATAACTCCTAATTGTCGTAGCAATTTTCATACTGGCCATTTGCAAGCTCAAAGTACAGCCTTGATGCAGTAGATGTTTGGATGTCAAATTTCCATCCTCTTACATTCATCCACGTGTTGCTGCCCACACCAAATGTGCATTTTCACTCATTTAGAGGCTAAACCCAAGGCTAAACCAAAGACAAGAGGCAAAAACAAAAGGACAATAAATGGAAGAAGGGGTCAAAGGTGTGACCATCCACAAGTTATTCTGACTTCATGGAGCTTTAGATGTTCTCCGTCTGATCAGACAGAGTTGAAGTTAATTTGTAAAAAAGACGAGGGCAAGGGCGTGCTTCGTGGTTAGCACGCAAGACCCATGTATGTAAGCCTCAATCCTCGAAATGCCCGACCCAAGTTTCGAATCTGACTAGTGCCGTAAAAAGCTCAAGAGAAAAAAAAAAAAAAAAGACGAAGGCAAACATCAATGAATTTAAATAAGCAAAGCTCGCAAATACAAAACCCTTAAGACCAACAGCTTTCAAATCGAGGCCCAGCGAAATACAAAGAATCACGTCTCTCTATAAAAAAAGCCAAGATTTTACTGGACAACAAAAATCTGAAAATCAAAACACAAAGAAAGAAAAAGATTTTTTTTTTAAAAGGTGCATTTTTTTTTTAAAGAAAGCAGTTCATTTTTGTTTATTTTTCTCTACAACATGTTTCTTGTTTGGTAGAGAACATGTCCCATAATGACTGGTTATTTCGGACATTTGGAGCAAGATGTTTGGATCGTAGCAAAAAAACTCATAAAAAGCATTTCTCATTTGGCAGATTTAATGATAAAAAAAAAAAAAATTCTGGTATTATTAATATAATTTATATACAAATGCACATTCTTTCCCACCTCGTTGAATATTTAAAATGCAGAGATGAGGGATGTCATAGAGAAACATCAGTATACAAGGTTATCGGTCGAGTCTGGGGTCAACACCATGGTTTTCACTAAGTACAGTGCACAATATGGAATGCGGCCTGGTCAACCCATCCACAAGTTATTCTGACTTCATGGAGCTTTAGATGTTCTCCGTCTGATCAGACAGAGTTGAAGTTAATTTGTAAAAAAGACGAGGGCAAGGGCGTGCTTCGTGGTTAGCACGCAAGACCCATGTATGTAAGCCTCAATCCTCGAAATGCCCGACCCAAGTTTCGAATCTGACTAGTGCCGTAAAAAGCTCAAGAGAAAAAAAAAAAAAAAAAGACGAAGGCAAACATCAATGAATTTAAATAAGCAAAGCTCGCAAATACAAAACCCTTAAGACCAACAGCTTTCAAATCGAGGCCCAGCGAAATACAAAGAATCACGTCTCTCTATAAAAAAAGGCAAGATTTTACTGGACAACAAAAATCTGAAAATCAAAACACAAAGAAAGAAAAAGATTTTTTTTTTAAAAGGTGCATTTTTTTTTAAAGAAAGCAGTTCATTTTTGTTTATTTTTCTCTACAACATATTTCTTGTTTGGTAGAGAACATGTCCCATAATGACTGGTTATTTTGGACATTTGGAGCAAGATGTTTGGATCGTAGCAAAAAAACTCATAAAAAGCATTTCTCATTTGGCAGATTTAATGATAAAAAAAAAAAAAATCTGGTATTATTAATATAATTTATATACAAATGCACATTCTTTCCCACCTCGTTGAATATTTAAAATGCAGAGATGAGGGATGTCATGGAGAAACATCAGTATACAAGGTTATCGGTCGAGTCTGGGGTCAACACCATGGTTTTCACTAAGTACAGTGCACAATATGGAATGCGGCCTGGTCAACCCATCCACAAGTTATTCTGACTTCATGGAGCTTTAGATGTTCTCCGTCTGATCAGACAGAGTTGAAGTTAATTTGTAAAAAAGACGAGGGCAAGGGCGTGCTTCGTGGTTAGCACGCAAGACCCATGTATGTAAGCCTCAATCCTCGAAATGCCCGACCCAAGTTTCGAATCTGACTAGTGCCGTAAAAAGCTCAAGAGAAAAAAAAAAAAAAAAAGACGAAGGCAAACATCAATGAATTTAAATAAGCAAAGCTCGCAAATACAAAACCCTTATGACCAACAGCTTTCAAATCGAGGCCCAGCGAAATACAAAGAATCACGTCTCTCTATAAAAAAAGCCAAGATTTTACTGGACAACAAAAATCTGAAAATCAAAACACAAAGAAAGAAAAAGATTTTTTTTTTAAAAGGTGCATTTTTTTTTTAAAGAAAGCAGTTCATTTTTGTTTATTTTTCTCTACAACATGTTTCTTGTTTGGTAGAGAACATGTCCCATAATGACTGGTTATTTTGGACATTTGGAGCAAGATGTTTGGATCGTAGCAAAAAAACTCATAAAAAGCATTTCTCATTTGGCAGATTTAATGATAAAAAAAAAAAAAAATCTGGTATTATTAATATAATTTATATACAAATGCACATTCTTTCCCACCTCGTTGAATATTTAAAATGCAGAGATGAGGGATGTCATAGAGAAACATCAGTATACAAGGTTATCGGTCGAGTCTGGGGTCAACACCATGGTTTTCACTAAGTACAGTGCACAATATGGAATGCGGCCTGGTCAACCCATCCACAAGTTATTCTGACTTCATGGAGCTTTAGATGTTCTCCGTCTGATCAGACAGAGTTGAAGTTAATTTGTAAAAAAGACGAGGGCAAGGGCGTGCTTCGTGGTTAGCACGCAAGACCCATGTATGTAAGCCTCAATCCTCGAAATGCCCGACCCAAGTTTCGAATCTGACTAGTGCCGTAAAAAGCTCAAGAGAGAAAAAAAAAAAAAAAAAGACGAAGGCAAACATCAATGAATTTAAATAAGCAAAGCTCGCAAATACAAAACCCTTAAGACCAACAGCTTTCAAATCGAGGCCCAGCGAAATACAAAGAATCACGTCTCTCTATAAAAAAAGCCAAGATTTTACTGGACAACAAAAATCTGAAAATCAAAACACAAAGAAAGAAAAAGATTTTTTTTTTAAAAGGTGCATTTTTTTTTAAAGAAAGCAGTTCATTTTTGTTTATTTTTCTCTACAACATGTTTCTTGTTTGGTAGAGAACATGTCCCATAATGACTGGTTATTTTGGACATTTGGAGCAAGATGTTTGGATCGTAGCAAAAAAACTCATAAAAAGCATTTCTCATTTGGCAGATTTAATGATAAAAAAAAAAAAAAATTCTGGTATTATTAATATAATTTATATACAAATGCACATTCTTTCCCACCTCGTTGAATATTTAAAATGCAGAGATGAGGGATGTCATAGAGAAACATCAGTATACAAGGTTATCGGTCGAGTCTGGGGTCAACACCATGGTTTTCACTAAGTACAGTGCACAATATGGAATGCGGCCTGGTCAACAGAAGCTTTGTTCAATGGAGCATGCAGGGAATGCGACTTTTCCTCCCCCTCATCTTAATCTGAGTGCTGCCACAGAACATAATCTCAGCTCAATTCTCTCACTCTGCATCTTCACAGCCTCTCTGAGCTGGAACTTTTTCTTGAATGAAACTTAATCAGCTTTGTCCAGACTAGTCTCATCATATTTTGCAAGTATGGACTGATATCCTTGTGCTAAACAGTGTGTAGGTGAGCTTGACAAGGCTCGATTCATTTGCTTACTCTGGCATTTGGCATGCTTAAGGAAATCCAAATACCTGATTACATAATACATAATTTTCCAGAAGGAGCTCTCTTAAAAATCTCCCAAAAATGATCTTAAAAGAGAAACAGTCCTTCATCTCCATGTATGCATAAACTATTCTACACTCAGCATGGCTGCCTCTCACACAATCTGTGCCATAAAGGCAGACGGCTCATTTATAAGGCCTCAGAGTATTCCAGTTTATCACCAGAGGGTTGAGAGTGCTTGGCTCCATTCATCCATAGAACAAGAGTTTATATAGAGAGGATGTAGGTTATATAGAGTGGGAGGGGGGGTATTAGATAAGGAGTTTAGATGTGTGTCATTAGGAATGCAAGAAAAAGCTGTTGGAGTAAAAACAGAAGCTGTCAAGGGGAAGGAGTGTAACTTAAAGAGCTAAGAAGAAACCAGAAATGGTGCAGAAATGATCATCAGAATGGATCAGGCTTCAGGAATTTATTGAAATGCAATGGTTTTGTAGCAGCTACATTTGACAGTAAGAGAAAATATACATGCTGGCTGTTATACAGATAAGATGTTGCATTGATTCTGGAGGACTGTAAAGAAGGGATTTGTGTGCTTTTGTTTTGTTTTTTTGTCACCATTTGTCTGTTTCATTAGAGAGTATCAGTCCTAATGGTAAATATTGGGATTGAGGATGTATTGATGCATGTATTAACATTCATGTATTTGTAAATGTGTTCATATAATGAAAAGAGCAGATACAATTTAACAGCCAG